GCAGGGCCACGGGGAGGACTTGGGCAGTAGAGTATGACAGTAACAGCACGCCCTGGCCCCAGGTAACCTGTACTCAATCCTAGGTCTGGATTTAACCAGCTGCATGGCCTTGGGCAGGGCAGTTCATTTGATTTCACCATGTCTTACTCCCTCCTGTCACATGGATTGATGGGAGGCTTGAAGCAAATGTGCCTTTATTCCTCAGGAGAGTGAATGGCTGGCACTGAGCACTGGGTACATATTATAGAACACGGTAGTGAACTGTTGAGTGGTTTCAGCAGGCAAGTGACACGAGGGTTTTTCAGAGATTAGATGAAAGTCGTGACATTTAGAAAAAGCTTTGGAATCTTCCAGAAAAGTCTGGAAAAGGTAGGAACAGATGAAATGGAGAAGAAAAGATTTTAGAAAAGGAGCTTAAGGGCTGCCCTAGTCTGAGGATTTTAACTATTCCACATGGAAACTGGAGCTGATGTTCCAGAAAGTTCCAGAAAGTGGAGTCTGATCTGGAGTGTATTCAATACAGTCTGCACTATGAAATCAAGACTGATACTCCTGATCCAGCATGTGAGACACATCCTGTTACACTCTTAAGGAATTGGCAGCCATAAAGTCTGGACGTCTAACTCTGTACGTGAGCTTTAAACCAGTTGCTATTGAGCATAAAGAGACCAGGAACAACATGTGTGCTGCTGCAAATAAGGCCATGGCTGTGATACAAGAGCCACAAAAGCAAGCAGGCCTGGAGCCATCTCCAGTGAGTGAAGAAGAGAAGAATACGGCAGGGTAATTTAAATCTTACCTGCCAGACTTTGGGAGACACGGACTTGACAAAGGCATTCTAGTGGAGAATCAGTGAACTCTAGAGAAAGTGAGGGAGCTACTCTGACTGCAGAAGGTGGAGACCGGGGAAGGAAGGAGGTCTGGCTTGAGAGACTACATAACAATGCTTTCTTCCCCCATGTTTAAAAAGATCATTAATAGGCTGGCGCCACGGCTCACTAGGCTAATCCTCTGCCTTGCGGCGCCGGCACACCGGCTTCTAGTCCCGGTCGGGGCGCCAGATTCTGTCCCGGTTGCCCCTCTTCCAGGCCAGCTCTCTGCTGTGGCCAGGGAGTGCAGTGGAGGATGGCCCAAGTGCTTGGGCCCTGCACCCCATGGGAGACCAGGAGAAGTACCTGGCTCCTGCCATCGGATCAGCGCGGTGCGCCGGCCCCAGCGTGCCGGCCATGGCGGCCATTGGAGGGTGAACCAATGGCAAAGGAAGACCTTTCTCTCTGTCTCTCTCTCTCACTGTCCACTCTGCCTGTCAAAAAAAAAAAAAAAAAAAGATCATTAATATTAGGGGCCGGTGCTGTGGTGTAGCGGGTAAAGCCGCCGCCTGCAGTGCTGGCATCCAATATGGGCACTGGTTCGAGTCCCGGCTGCTCCACTTCTGATCCAGCTCTCTGATGTGGCCTGGGAAAGTAGTAGAAGATGGCCCAAGTCCTTGGGCCCTGCACCCATGTGGGAGACCCAGAAGAAGTTCCAGGCTCCTGGCTTCAGATCAGCCCAGCTCCAGTCGTTGCAGCCAATTGGGGAGTGAATCAGCAGATGGAAGCTCTCTCTCTCTCTCTCTCTCTCTCTCTGCGCCTCTCCTTTCTCTGTGTAACTCTTTCAAGTAAATAAATAAAATCTTTTTTTAAATATTTTTTAAACTTTAATTTCATTGTTGTTAAGTTTTAAGGATGGGCTTCTGAATTCAATTTTTTTCTGCCATAACACGTGGCTATTCAAGTACAGCATCAAAGAAAAATAATAATATTTACTAAATCACAAAATAGCTTGTTTTCTCTAGATATTATTTTTGTTTTAGGCATTTTTTTCTTGAAGACACAATGTATATACTTATATTACTACAATGTCTAGTTATAGAGACTTTTATGGCAGCATTGATCATTGTATTTGGGAAAGTGATAAAATGGTATCATTTCCATCAGTTATAATGCCATCAGAATGTGGCATTATAACAGAACACATGGGTAGTTTTGGGCCTTGACTGTCTTCATGCACAAGAATGAAACACTTATGGTAGAATGAGAGAAGTTCCACATACAATAAAGGGAATGTAAAAAGAAAGTGATGCTGATTTCATGTGCTTTATTCAGTTAAAAATAGCTCAAATGAATACTTTATCCTATTCCAATGTCTTGGAGACATTGGAGGGTGGCATAATAAATAAAATATTTTAAAAAGATCATTAATATTTATTTATTTCAAAGAGAGATATACACACATACTCATGCACACACACACACACGGAGAGGGGGAGAATGATTTTTTCATGAGAGAGAAGGAAAAAACCGGGCACTGCATGAATCAGTTTCAGTCATAAGGATAGAATGGGAATAGAGGTATCTAAATATGCATGTGCACATGCACACACACACACAAACACAGTCCTATAATTTCAAGGAAGAAAATCTCAACATATTTTGCATCTATGTTCTTTTTGTACAGTCGGGATCATATTGCCATCCTGGCCTATCATAATAGAGTATTTATGCACACTTCACAGTCAGTCAACACCTGAAGGAGCTTGCTTTGGAAATTAAAGAAGAAGCAAAATAAAATTAAAATAAAAAGATTTGGAGCTGGCATTGTGGTACAGTGGGTAAAGCTGCCGTCTGTGATACCAGCATCCCATATGGGCAACAGTTCATGTTCTGGCTGCTCCACTTCTGATCCAGCTCCCTGCTAGTGGCCTGAGAAAAGCAGCAGAAGATGGCCCTAGTGTGTGGGTCCCTGCTACCCATGTGGGAGACCCAGATGAAGCTCCTGGCTGCTGGCTTCAGCCTGGCTCAGCAGGGCACTTTAGCCATCTGAGGAGTGAAACAGCAGATGGAAGACTGATCTCTCTGTAACTGCCTCCATATTTCCACTGAGCAAACTCTGGATCTCCTGCCTTTGCATTCCAGGCTGGGTCTGATAGAACTTGGTGGTGTCCAAGATTGTTCTTTTTTTTTTTTTCAAACATTTATTGTGCTTATTTGAAAGGCAGAGTGAGAGAGAGAGAGGGAGGGAGGGAGAGGGAGAAGGAGAAAGAGAGAATCTTCCATCTGCTGGTTCACCCTCCCAAATGGCCACAATGGCTAGGGCTGGACCAAGTCAAAGCCAACAGCCAGGAGCTTCTTCTGGGTCTCCCTTGCGGGTGCAGGGGCCCAAGCACTTGGGCCATCCTCCACTGCCTTCACAGGCATATTACAAGGGAGATGGGTTGGAAGTAGAGCATCCAAGACTCAAACTGGCACTTACCTGGGATACTGGCATTGCAGGTGGTGGCTTAACCCACTATGGCACAATGTGAGTATCTTTAAAGACTTTCCATATGCACAGTGGACAGTGTCCAACAGGGGTATGCAAATTACATTGGGGAGGTTGGATAGGTTCACCCAAAGCCGATTGGCCAGTGACAAGCACAGGGCCCCAGGGTAAAGTAGGTATTCAAGACACACTTGTAGTTTACCTGAATGGAACTAAGCAAGGGATAAGTGGACTCAGGGTGTCAAGGACATCGTAGGTGTGACACACACCCACCTTCTCACTCCAGAGTCCCATCAAAATCACTGTCTGGTGTCCCTTCCTTCTCCCAACAGACATCTAGTTCAACTGAGAGATGAATCCTCGCTAATGTGTCCTCATGCATGTTGCTCCTCCTGGTCCCACTACACACAGTCCCTGCCTGCAGATTGTCCAGCGTCCCAGGGGGACCCACATGGAGCCAGCATAGCGATTGGCTGCATTTTCCTCCATTGCTTATTTTGTTTACTGTCTCTTTAGCTAGAGATGGTGTGGATGACAGGCCCTGGTAAAGGGCAATGTCAGGAACACATCCCTGGAGGGACTGCTCTGATGGCACACAGCGCTGATTCCATTGGCCTTCGTTTCTAGGAGCCTGTTTCCTCCCATGAGAGGGGGTAACACCTGTGGCTCTAGAGTGGTGTGAACAGAGGTGATGCTTCTCCAACACGTTGCTCCCCATTCCCCAAAGTGGAAGGCTGCCAGACTCTTCCTCTACATCTTCAAAGGACTCTGAGGCCTCTAGGCCTTGGGCTGTATGGTTTTTGGTTTTTTGTTTGTTTGTTTGTTTGTTTGTTTTGACAGGCAGAGTGGGCAGTGAGAGAGAGAGACAGAGAGAAAGGTCTTCCCTTTGCCGTTGGTTCACCCTCCAATGGCCGCCGTGGCCGGCGCGCTGGGGCTGGCGCACCACGCTGATCCGACGGCAGGAGCCAGGTACTTATCCTGGTCTCCCATGGGGTGCAGGGCCCAAGCACCTGGGCCATCCTCCACTGCACTCCCTGGCCACAGCAGAGGGCTGGCCTGGAAGAGGGGCAACCGGGACAGAATCCGGCGCCCCGACCGGGACTAGAATCCCGTGTGCCGGCACCGCAAGGCAGAGGATTAGCCTAGTGAGCTGCGGCGCCGGCCTGGGCTGTATGTTTTGCTTGGCAGAGATCACAGCTGGGAGTAATGTATCAAGGGAGGGGACGTCCTGGTTACCCAAGGGAAAGGCCCATGTGTCCATGTGTCACCAGGGGTAGGGTGGGGTTCTGGTCATTACGGTTCCTCTTTGCCTGACCCTTGAATCAAAACTCCCCCATTGATCCCCTTGAGGACACCAGTACTAACATTCCTGGTGCAAAGAGCTCTTAGAGACCGGCCCTGGGTCTCTGAATCTCGACTCTTAGGCTGAACATTCTCAACAGCAACTCCTTGGACACTGATATTGGAAAGGTCACAGCAAAATTGTCCCAGCCCGTGGCTCCAACTACAAGCCTTGCTTCTGTAGAGGTTTGCCAGGCGCCAAAAACATCTCCAGTGCTCTGGCTGGGAGCAGCCAATGGAAACCGCAGCCAGGACCCCTCCCACTCTCCCTCTGTGGTATCCCAGCTCTCTCTGTCCTCTTTCCCTCCCTCCTCCTGGCCAATCTGATTCAGAAGCGAGGACCCTGGGCAGGGCGGCAGCTCTGGGGGCTGCGGGAGTACTTTGTCTGCCCTGCGGTGCCTAGAGGGAGCCTCAGCTGCTACAAAGATGACTTGGAGACAGGTTCTCCTCCTGTCCTGCTTCTCAGCTGTGGTGCTCCTGTCTAGTGAGTATGGGAGGGCCAAGGGTGGACTGTGGTCACTGCATACTAAGAGTTAGCTTATACAGGTGAGTCTGCTCAGGTGGCACCGGTAGAAGGGGTGTGCTTATTGTTAAGATGCTATGCTTGAGATATGAGTGTGTGTGTGTGTGTGTGTGTGTGTAAGACATGATATAATACAGGAAAATAGCAAAGAAAGAAAAAATAGAAAAAGAAAAACTCCCCAGCTGGCCTGGCGGGTTCAGGTCTTCAGCCGGCATGTGAGGGACTGAGAGTCCCTGGCCAGTCCCTGAGGCCAAAGAGGGCTGTGGAGGCCCTGCTTGGGGTCTGGCTCCCCGCTGCTGCTGTAGGAGTTCACCTTCACCTTCATCCCGCAGGGCTGCGGGAGGGCACCAGTGCGTCTGTGAGCAGCCGGCAGGCAGCAAGAGACGAGGCTCAGGAAGGTGAGCAGAGGGGCCCGCCCGCTACCCGGCAGCCCTGGCACCCTGTGCTGATGGTGATAGCCTCTCTTGGGTTTCAGGTGTGAAGCCAAAGATTTTTATGCGGGAATCAGATGCCTCCAATTTCCTCAAGAAACGTGGCAAGCGGTCCCCTAAATCCCGTGAAGAAGTCAACGGTAAGGATGCTGGACAGCCTGGCCTTTGCTCATGCCCCCTGGTTCCTTCTCTTAGCCACAGTGGGCAGGCGGCAGGACACAGTGGGGCAGCGGGGGTTCAACCCAGGCTTGGCTATCAGAGTGGACACAGTTCTGACTGAGAAGTTACATCCGACTTCCTTGGTTGTGGGTCCCACATTGGAGTGAATGTGTTGTTGCATAAGAAACGGGTGTCAAATGCACTTAGCAGTTGTTAAGATGCATGAAGGAGGAAACACAAGCACCGGTCTAGCAGGGACACAATGCTACAGTGTGTGCTTCTGGGGGCTGCTCGCACAGCGTACCCTCTATTCAAGGGCATGTCCCTCACACACAGGGAAAGAGTGCAGAGGACGGGGTCCTCGCCACTTCCTCTCCCTGACCCTCATTTCCTTATTTATAAGCCTCTGAAAAAGCTGTGTTCAGCCAGCAGTTTTTCAGTTTGGACTTTGGGTGAGCACGGCTCCTGCACAGCCTGCTGTATTTCCTGTCATCCACAGTTGCAAGGCCTTCAGGTTTCTGATTTTTCCACGACTCAGACAACTGTCCCAGCTGAGTCTGTGCCTTGATTCTTTCCTGGGCGTGTGTGTGTATGAATGAACTCTTTGTGTCCATCAGCATTCAGCGAGGTGAACTACTTGGTAAAAAAAAAAAAAATGACAGGCCTGTTTTCAAATGATGGGGGAAGAATAGAGATGGAAATGCTTGCAGATGAAATTCCTTTTTTTTTTTTAACTTGGATACTATAACTGCACTAGGAAAATTTCCAGGCCTCACACAATTTGGGGTTGAATAGTTGGCCAATGTCAAGAAACACTGAAAAGCTAGGATGGAGGCTGGATCGTTTGTGATTGAAATCAGAGAAGAAACTTTCTGGCAGACATCCTGGGGGGAAACAGGTGTGATTTTAGGACAGGCAAATACCTTCCATCCTCCTGAGCCGACTCAGAACAATGAGGTCCCTCATATTGAACGGGAGCTCAGTGTGGCAAGAGTCAAGGGAGGCCCAGGACAGCCTGGTGATCACAGAAGGTGACACAGGAATGCATCTGCTGCCATCTGGCCATCACCTGTGCACGGCAGGGGAGCAGTGCCCAGTGACTGCTCAGGGGAGGGCTGAGTGACACTTCAGGCAACTGGACCTTAGAACCAGGGGACAGGCATCTGACATCTCTAAGCTTCTAGAGAAAGCCACGGATGGTGTTTGGGTGGAAAGAGAAATGGATGGAATGCCCACGCCTTTGACAAAGGATGTGTACAGTGCATAGCAAGGACACGCATGATAAAAATACCTTCCTGTTCTGAGAATTAGATAGCTCTGGTTCACTGCTGCATCGGAAGTTGAGCGTGTGGCACTCTGACAAGCAACTTGTGCAGACTATTTCTTTCCCTGGGTGCAGAGGGGCTGGAAAATGCCTCCTTAGGACTCGGCACTGGCTCATGGAGCATCCGCTTCCTAAACCCTCAGGCCTCCCTCCTTCCTGGAGGGACACCAGGGTCTACGGTGGGTCAGGAAGGGGAGGCTGCTATGCAAGAGGTGTTCTGGGCCGGTAGATGAATGTGGGAATGGGTGCTTGGGACTCCAGCCCTACCTGAGCCCCTCCCAGCTGTGTGACATCCATTAGGTCACTGCGCTCTCCCCTAAGGCTAAATCCCCTCCTTTGAAATGGGTGGGTGTGAGAGTGAGGACCTCCAACCCCTTCCACGAGACTGAAGTTTCCTACAAGTTTGTGGGTAAAGGTAGAAGTCTGGAAGATGGGACTTAGAGATCCATACTAAGACTAACTCACAGACACCTTGACTTTTTAATCTAAGCTACATCAAATCATGGCCATACAACACATACTAGGATCATACAACTTATGTATTAATATAACTCCTTTCTTCCAAGAAGGATTTGAGATGATTTCTAGTATTTTCATTTAGCAAAGAAATACTTTTTGTTGTCTCTCCCAACACTTTTAACATGGGATGGGCAGGGGACCTTGGCTTTTCTGTTTCTCTGCTTCCCTCAATGCCACCATCCAACTTCCTCTTGCACATCAAATATGGTGGGGGCAAGAAGAGAACTTTAATCTCTCATGTTGATGGGAGGGGGCTCCTGCCCTAAGAATGTGAGGTGGCCCAAGCAGCTGATCCTTCTGTGCTACACATGGATGGAGAGAGAGAGAGAGGGAGAGAGTGCTTGAAAGTAGAGTGCTTGAAATAATTTTCTCCAAATGATTTTTATTCTAGCAGTCATCATATTATACATGGTGAAACTTCTAAAATCTTTTGCCTTAACCAGACTCTTGATCTCTTAATTAGAGGGACAGAATCTTTCTTTTTTTCAGTTTTAAAAATGTATGTATTTATCTGCAGGGAGAAGGAGAGAGCATGAGTGAGAAAGAGAGACAGAGAGGTGGATTCAGGGACAGAGAGCTCCTGGGCACTGGATGGCCCTAAATGCCCTCAACAGTTAGGACTGGGCCAGGCTGAAGTCAGAAGGCTGGGTCTCTCCTGTGGGTAGCAGGGACCCAAGCACTTGAGCCACAGTCTGGTGCCTCCCAGAGTGCACGTCAGCAGGAAGCTGGAATCAGGAGCAGAACTGGGACTTAGACCCGGGTGTCTCAGCCAGTGGCTCAACCACTGTGCCAAATGCTTGCTCCCAGAATCTTTTTTTTTTTTTACTAACTTTTTAATCCCAGTGCTGAGTCTCTATCCTGACCTTGATAAATGCTCAAAAATGCTAAATGGACCTGAAGGTATTGAGATGAGATTAACTTTAAATTGGATTATTCCTTTATGGAAATCATTTCTGATCATGAGATTTCTACATGGCCTTTGAATATATCACTAACTTTGTCTGGAGCTGAATCATTTTACACTATAGGGCTTCCATCTCTTCATCTGCAAAATGGAGGCAGTGGACAGAGATAATCTTTTTTGTTTAAACATGAAAGGTCCTTCTATGTCTAGTCATTGCCCAATAGCTCATTTTTTTTTTTTTAAAAAAAGGACTTATTTATTTGAAAGTCAAAGTTGGGGAGGAGAGGGAGAGGGAGAGAGAGAGGGAGAGGGGGAGGGGGGAGGGGGAGGGGGAGAGGAAGCCAGGAGCCAGAACTCCATTTGAGTCTCCCACATAGGTGTCATGGGCCTAAGCACTTGGGTCATCATCTCCCACTGCTTTCCCAGGTACATTAGCAGGGTGCTGGATCAGAAGTGGAGCAGCTGAGACTTGAACTGGCATCCATATGGCATGCCAATGTTGCAGGTGGTGGCTTAGCCCACTGTACCATGTTGGCCTCTGAGATAATCCCCTAGGTCCTTCAGGTGTTAAAATCTGTATCCTCAGCACCCTCTTTCTTGGGGGCAACCCTGACTCTTTTCACAGCGGAAAACAGGCAGAAGCTACGGGCTGATGAGCTGCGGAAAGAATATTATGAGGAACAAAGGAATGAATTCGAGAACTTTGTGGAGGAACAAAATGATGGTAAGAGCTCTTCACCAGTCTCTTCAGGGAAGGGCGCCTTGTGAGAAAATCACATGGTTTGCCTCCACTTCTTCTTCCCAAATTTTGTTTAAAATATCATTTAAAATAATATATTAGAGGTAGGGACACACACACACACACACACACACCACTTTCATTTTCTGGCTTACTCCCCCAAATGCCCACAATGGCTGGGATTGGGTTAGGACCATTACCAGGAGCCAAGAACTTATTCCAGGCCTCACATGTGGGTGGCACAAATCCAACCACTTGAGCCATCACTGCTTCCTTTCAGGGTTAGCTGGACACTGGACTCACGAGCTGGAGCTGGGAATCAAACCCAGGCACTCTGATACAGGATGTGGCATTTTAACTGCTAGGCCAAATGTCAGCTCCCCCACTACCCCCATTTAACTGTAGGAGGGAGGTGTGGGAAGATCTACTTTAAATTCATATCCATAAGAGCCTTGAAAAGCAAGGAGAAAGCCAGAGAAATGGCTATACAGAACTTGAGAAGGTGTGGAAGAGGGTAGGATTTCTGTGTTAGCATTGGCTTGGGGACTGTGGAGATGGGGAATTGTTAGCTGACCAAATGATGCAGACTCCTTTTCCTCCTTCCTGTTACTCAGGGATCACTGTGGTGGTCTGTGTTTTCTGCCCAAGCAATGAAACTAGGGACTTTGATCTGGTAGGCTGTGCTGGGTAGATTTCAAACTCTTTTTTTTTTTTTAAAGATTTATTTATTTTATTTGAAAGTCAGAGTTACACAGAGAAAGGAGCGGCAGAGAGAAAGAGAGAGAGGTTTTCCATCCGCTGGTTCACTCCCCAATTGGCCGCAACGGCCGGAGCTGCGCCGATCCAAAGCTAGGAACCAGGAGCTTCCTTTGGGTCTCCCACGTGGGTGCAGGGGCCCAAGGACTTGGACCATCTTCTATTGCTTTTCCAGGCCATAGCAGAGAGCTGGATTGGAAGTGGAGCAGCCAGGTCTTGAACTGGTGCCCATATGGCTTCAGGCCAGGGCGTTAACCCACTGTGCCATAGCACTGGCCCCAAACTCACTTTCAAGTACATTGGATTCACATCTGTGTGGGATCTCCAGGACATCACACTGGACAAGACCTTCATTCACCCTTTCATTTTAATTATAGCCTAAACTGAGTGGTACAAGCAAAAACCGAGGCATAGGAAGGACAAAGGAACACAGAAGGTGACAAACAAGTCGGCAGCCCTGGGGTTGGAGCTCAGGCATGTTTGCCAGCAAAGTTCCTGCTTTTGAAAGTCATGGTTGACCAAGTGCATAGAGGTCTTGGAGATTTTTGGTGCAGGAACTGGCACACGGGTGGATGGAGTGAGGGAGATAAAACACGGCAGCTACCAGGTGTCCTCTCCAGAGCTTGATAAAGGAAAGAGCCAAGGTGGAAAAGATCTGTTTTGAAAAGGTGCAACTCATTTTTGTGCCTGTCCCTTTTCCTTGTCTGTGCCCCAGAACTTCTGTGGCCTGGGTGAACAGTGGCCTGGGTGCCTGAAATCTCCACCTTGGAGCCATGCTCAAGGTGTCTGTCTTCCAAGCCCTTCTCTGAGGGCCCTGAGACTCCCGTTCAATCAGGACCCTGGTCTCAGTTATTCTGACAATGTTACCTGTCTTAAGAGTCATTGATCCATCTCTCCCAAGACATTGGCTTTAGACATTAACTACCAAGTCAAAATCACACTTTTAAGGTTGACAAAGAGGAGGTGGTCTACCGTGCTGCAGAAATGTCTCAAAGAGTTAACTGCTCACATCTAAAGCTCCAGTCTGGGCCTGGCTCGGCAGCTCCAGGCTGTCCCGGGGAACCAAGCACCAAAGGGGATTTTCAGCACCATGGGGAATGCTGACTCTGCACTCACAGAGGAGGAAAACATTGGCAGCAGCCATGGTGCCTCAAACAGGCAGTGGTAACAGGGCCTTTCTTGCTGAGGTGGGACTCAGCCCAAGCACCTGGCTCTCACAAGTGCTAAGGAACATGAGGACATCAATTTTCCCCACATTCTGAAGCCACCAGCCTGTTAAACAAGGTCATAGATGACACTAATTTCACTAGCACCAAATCAGGCTTCACAGGGTTTTCTGGTGGAATCCAGAAGCAAAGCAGAGAAAGACACGTTTCAGTCCTCAACATCTTCTTCTTCTGCTAGGTCTTCTCATTCTCCCAATGCTTCTCATGAAGGCTTTTCTTTGTTTTTACAAAATATGATGATTACTGTCATGGTTTTCTTTTATCTTTCTCCAAAGATTTATCTGAGAGGCAGAGTCTCTCTCTCTCTCTCTCTCTCTCTCTCTCTCTCTCTCTCTCTCTCTCTCTCTCTCTCTTTCTCACACACACACACCTTTCATCTGCTGGTTCACTCCCCACATCACCTCAGTGGCACAGTCTGGGCCAAGCCAAACCCATGAGCTCTATCTGGGTCTTCCACATGGGTGACAGGGGCTAATCCATCTTTTTCCAGTTAGATTTTTTTAAAGGTTTATTTATTTGAAACTCAGAGTTACACAGAGAGAGGAGAGGCATAGAGAGAGAGGTCTTCCATCCGTTGGTTCACTCCCCAATTGGCCGCAATGGCCGTAGCTATTCCAATCCAAAGCCAGGAGCCAGGAGCCAGGAGCTTCTTCCGGGTCTCCCACACGGGTGCAGGGGCCCAAGGACTTGGACCATCTTCTACTGCTTTCCCAGGCCATAGCAGAGAGCTGGATCAGAAGAAGAGCAGCTGGGACTAGAACCAGCGCCCATATGGGATGCCGGCACTTCAGGCCAGGGTGTTAACTCACTGCGCCACAGCGCTGCCCCTCCAGTTAGATTTTTTAAAAAAGATTTATTTATTTATTTGAAGGCAGAATTATTGAGAGAGGGGGAGAGACAGAACGACATCTTTCATCAGCTGGTTCACTCCTCATATGGCTGTGATGATCAGGACTGGGTCAGGCTGAAGCCAGGAGCCAGGAACTCCATCAGGATCTCCCACATGGGTGGCAGGGACCTAAGTACTTGGGCCATCTTCTGCTGCTTTCCCAGGTGCATGAGCAGGGAGCTGGATTAGAAGTGGAGAAGCTGGGACTTGAACTGGTGCAGATATGGGATGTCAGTGTCACAGGGAATGTCTCAACTTGCTGCACAACATGGGCTCCTCCATTTTTTAAATCAAATCTTTACGAATATAGACCAATATAGGGGAGAAAACTGCTTATCCCCCATCACTCCAGGATCCTGAGGTTTTCCTGTGCAGTGTGTTAAAGGCATGGTTTGTGTCTGCTTTTGTTGTACTATGCTGTTGTTTTGGGATTTGGTGTCCTAGATACTACCTCCGTGAGCCAGTGATTGCCTAGGGCTCTTCCCCCTTTTTGCTGTGACGTGGGCAGAACAGCATGCAGGGTACCAAACCTTGGTCTCAGTTCTACCGGCAGCCAATCCTGTGACCTGTGTGGCTAATCCACAAAACGAGGCCTCTCAACTCATTCCCAGGCTCCTTGCTGCTCTGATATTCTGTGTCTGTCACCTAGGGCTCGCAGGCATGTATGGCTCCTGTCCCTGCAGGGCCCGGCAATGCAGGCTGAGGGCAGCTGGGGGTGGTGGCTGTGCTTGGGCCAGAGTCCTCTCTGTCCTCACAGGTGACTTGGTCTTTGCTCCACAGAGCAGGAAGAGAGGAGCCGGGAGGCAGTGGAACAGTGGCGGCAGTGGCATTATGACGGGCTGTATCCTCCCTACCTCTACAACCGCCACCACATCTGACCTCCCTGAGGCAAACCGGCAAGGAGCCATGTGACGCACTCCCCTTCTCCCAGGCAATGCACCTGCAAGGCTCACACAGTCCTGGGAGACACAATTGCCTCATCTTGTGATGCCTCAAACGCCCTGGTTTTGCTTCTTTGCAGGTGATTTTCTGGGGCTCCGGGTGCCTCTCTAGCACCAAACCTTCAGGTCTGACCAGCTTGGTCATTGTTCCCTAGAGCAGAACTCCTGTCCTATAGAACAATATATCCAACTGAAGAAGAGCAATGGGTACATGTTTGCTTCCAGCTTACCAATAAAAATGCTGTGTGCCAAGTGTCTTTCTTAGCCTCTCAAGCCTCAAACTGAGCCGAGGCCCCTTGAGTGATTGTGTGGTTTTCTCTTCTGCTTGAGCATGCAACACCTTGAACCAGAGGGAGTGCTTTACTGCTCACTCTTCCTCCATGTGTCTCAGGAGTTAGGCAGAGGAGTGAAAATGAAGGAAAATACAACTGATTTGGAAAAACCGTTCTCTGAGAAGGTGACTGAGCCAGATGCTTCCTTTCCATTGCCTCTGAAAAGTCAGAGGACTCAACTGTGATGCCTTAACCGCATCATTCACAAACCAGGGTGACAGCAAGCCAGCTTCGTAGACACAAGTAGGAAGCAGGGACAATGAAGTTTTGGTGCCATCTTCCTTTTCTCTCTAGTGCCCATGTTCATTTCCCCAGACTGCAGTGACACAGTCCCACAAGAGCAGGTGGCTCAAAACAATGGAAATCCATTAATCTCTCCGTCCTGGTTCTGGTAAGATCACACTCCCTCCACATGCTCCTGCTCACTCCGTGGCGGCATCACCACCTGCCTTCTCTGTCTTTGCCAAGACATCATCTTTCCTCTTGTGTGTCTTCCCATCTTGTGAGAACACCAGGCACGCTGAATTATGAACTCACCCAGCTAATCTCATTCTACACTGATAATATCTGCAAAGACTCCATTTCCAAATCAGGTCCCGTTCATGGACATGGCAGCTAGGACTTCGACATGTCTCTGGGGGCACACAATTCCACCAGGAACAATGCCCCTCTTCTCTCCCACACACTCTGCCTTCTTCTGGTTTACCATCTGCCTTCTTCCCACCCTTGCTCTCCTCTGACTTTCAGGAATCCCACACTAAAATGCAGACAAACCAAGAACACCTTAAGCAAGCACCTCTTTTTGCATCCTTACCCAACCTTTCTTCAAATAAGACACTTCCATTGAAAATTATCATTTTACTAAATCCGGGCTCATTGTAGTAAATTAAAGCAATATTGGAATCTACTACACAGAAGAGGAGCAGAGGTCTTTTTCTCCTCCCATCTCCTTGGGGGGGGGGGCGTGAGAGTGAGCGAGCTGAGAGAGCACACATTATCTATCCACTGGTTTATTCCCCCAAAGCCAGGGGTGGGCCAGGACAAAGCCAAGAGCCTGGAACTCCATGTCTCTCACATGGATGGCGGGAGTCAAGCATTTGAGCACTGAACTTCTGCCTTTCCAAGAACATTAGTAGAAGACTGGGTTCAAAGAGAGCAGCCAGGACTCCAAAATGGGATGCTGGTGTCACAAGCAATGCCTTAATCCATTGCACAATGACACTGCTCCTGTCAATCCTTTCTTAAAGTAAGCAACTGAGAACATTAGCAAGACTGGGATGGAGGGCTCTTGAAATACACACTGTTCTTGCCTTGGATATGATTCACAGGATGCTGAAAACCCTTATATAAATGGCACAGCACTGCATATGACCTATGCAATATCCTGCATACTATGAATCATCTCTCCACTACCTATAATGCCCAAGACAATACAAATGCCAAGCAAACAGCTGTTGCTGTTTTATAGGAATTAACAGTAAAAAAACAAACAAAAAAAAAGTGAGAGAGAGAGAGAAAAGTTAAGTCTTCACATGTTCAGATTTGATGAAATTTTTTCCCTAATTCTTTCAGTCCCTAGATGGAGAACCCAAGGCCATGGAGAGCTTGTCAACTGTATTCTTTTAAAATATTTATTTTATTTGAAAGGCAGAGTGACAGAGAGGGAAAGACATATAAAGAGATTTTTCCATTCACTGGTTCACTTCCTAAATGGCCCCAATATCCTAGGCTGGTGCCAGGAGCAAGGAATTCCATCCAGGTATCCCACATAGGTAGTTGGGGCCCAAGTACCTGGGCCATCTTCTACTTCCTTGACAGGCACATTAGCAGGGAGTTGGATTGGAAGCGGAGTACCCAGGACTTGAACCTGCACTCTGATATGGGATGCTGGTATTAGGAGCAGCAGCATGACCTGGTGTGCCACAATGCTGACATCTGAATTTTTTTCATGCCAGGTTGTGCAACAGAAAAGACAAAGCTTTGCTGTGTTACCTCCACTAGGAAATGAGGAGCCAGGCTTAGAGAACAGGTGGACGGCAGCAGATGGACTCTGACTCATGGCCAAACCACATGGCCACCTGCCTGTCATGTGTCCACAGACAGGAATGCAGGGGTTATACAGATGTTAAAAACCAAGAACGGTTTAAGTGAGTGGCCCATTTAAGAAAGCAAAACAAAAGCGCCTGTCCTTTCCTCTTCACTGGCTAGGACTCTGGATAAAAGTCTCTGGCAGGAGGGGCTGAGTAAGAATTCTCTTACCTCGTTCTACCTCAGCCTTCACAAGGGTTCCATTGTACTTCAAGGTTTTCAAGTTCAGTCCAGAATTCCTTCGCTAAAAGCCAACTGCAGTCACTTCCTTGGCAGGGGGAAGAAAGCCAAAGAGAATAGGACCAAGAATCTGGACAGCTACATTTAATAGTGACAGAGCAATTTGTATTTTTGGAGGAGTTGGGTCTTGTCAAAAGTTTGGCTGTTGGTACATTTTTGGGTTCTTTTTTTTTTTTTTTCATCATTATTGCCCCATTCTTAAGAGATTTCAGGTAAGCAACAAATTTGTCAAGGGATACATTTGTCCCTCATTTATGTTTGCTCATTTTTTATCTATGTTGGAATTTCTTTTCTTTTAAATATATTTAAAAGATTTATTTATATGAAAGGCAGAATAACAGAATGGGAGACACAGAGAGATTGTTCATCTGCTGGTTCACTTCAAAGGACCATAATAGCCAGGACTGGGCCAGGCAGAAGCCAGGATCCAGGAGCTTCCTCCAGGTCTTCCATGTGGGTGCAGTGGCCCAAGCACTTGGGCTGTTCTCTGCTGCTTTCTCAGGCATATTAGCAGGGAGCTAGATTGGAAGTGGAGTAACCAGGACATGAACTGGTGCTGCCAATGGTGGCTTCACCCGCTGTGCCACAGTGCCAACCATGGGAAGATTCTTGATCTATTCTTTTGAGAAACATTATACTGTTGCTTGTTATGATTTGTAGCTCAACATTTGCAATTCAAATAATTGCTATTCATAATCCCCAAATCATTACTTTGGTACTTTTTGTCTTGATTCACGGTCGCTCATATGTACAGAATGTGTTTCCAGATGAGGACAAACAAAATGAGGCTGCTTCAGCTCATCCGTGTGAATCTGAAGAAAACTGGGTCCCAGATAAGGAACACAGGCCATCTTTTCCTTATCTCTTCCAGGAGGAGGCAGGAACTGTGAGCTTAAGAAACGGTTCTCCCCCAGAAGCTGAGGACCCTACTTTGGGCCCTTCAGGTAGGTTCTCTTTCCCTACACTTTCTTGCTAGAAGCCAACAAGGGCAAAGGGCCTGCAATGGATAGACAGACACAATGTCTTGTTTGGTTTTGTAGTTTTTACTTCCAGGTAAATTCCACTACACGCAATGACATCTCAAGTACATTCCCATTATGATTTTTATGGGCCAGCGATGCTTTTGCCTTCTTGGGTGCCTTCCTTGACAAAACACTAAAAGGTATATTCTACTGCTGTGCTGGCACAGAATGTATTTCTAGGCTAGAATTTTCTTCGACCTCAAAGATACTTTTCTTCTGGTTTTAAGACATGGTTTCAGCTCTCACACTGTGAGTGTGTCCTTTTTCTGTTGTTGGTGACTTTCCTGTTTAAAGTGTTGATGCGCTGTCTGCCGTTCCCAAGTTCAAGGTTCTGATGTGCCTTACAGAAAAGGTCCATGTGCTGGGTATGTTTCAGGTGTGAGTTCTGTTAGTGAATCAACAATACGCATTAAACAAGATGTCTTCAAACAGAACACCCACAGAGCTCATACATATATCTACTGGTAAAAATGCAGTGAGGGGCTCACAAGAACCACAGGCTCTCTGCTAGGAATGGTGGTTTGTTATACACAGGTTGTGTTTGAGGCGACATAACCAGAATTGGCTGCAGACATGTTGAAGAGAGTCTGACCCCTGCAGGACGTGTAGGACATTTTGACTTGGACATTTCAACAGCGTGGCTGTCCTTTCGATTTTCAAAATTCTGACAGCCTTTTCTGTACAATGCTATTGATCTAAGACACCTGATCTCGTCAACATTTTCTGCTTATCTTCTTTATCACCATTTCTCTCAGATTATAGCAGATACAGATAGAATTTCATCTTTTGAACCACCTATCTTTGACAGCAGAAAGGTTTCCAAATCACTATTCTTGAGATCAGAGATGCCCCTGTCACTGACAGGGAGAAATCTGATTGGTTACAACTTATGACGCTCTTAGGCAAATAGATCTGTGCTCCAGATTTTTAAAAAAGCCACCAGAGTTTATTTAACCTGCTACAAACATCAAGCTTTACTTTTGTTATCATTTATCCTGGTCAACTTTGCTGTGCAGTCAGTCAGTCTGAAGCTTTCAATATCTTCAGTTCCTTTTGAGACAATTCCACATCACTCACTGAGAAGTTCCTTATTTGCTATTCTGGATGATTTTTATCTAATAATTCCACTTTCCTTTTATTGTTTGAAAAGGGAAAATACACTGAATGCTACAAACACACAGACAATTTTTAATTTTTTTTTAAATGTAGAACTTTTATTTCTCTGTATTTCTCAGTATTGCTGGGGCCTAATGTTCTCACTTAACAGTAGAAAAACAAAAGATTTGCTGTCATCTCTTAAACAATCAAAAACTGTACAAAAATCTTACACAAATTTAAAGGATGAATAAATATACAGGTGTAAATGTAAACCACTTCCAGCCTAAAGCAGGTATAACATGGTGTTCTGGCAGGAAAACCAGGTAATAAAGGAAACTGGGCCCCAAAGCTTGGATCGCCCTGCCCCCCATCTCTATACACTTTATTTCCTGTAAACAGAAAAAGGTGCAAAAGGGAAAAGATTGGGGTGAGTCGGCTGCGGCACAGGTGTTGTGGCTAAGCCACCACTTGAGGCGCCTGCATCCCATATTGGAGTGCTGGTTTGAGTCCCAGTTCTGTTGTGTTTCCAATCCAGCTTCCTGCTAACTCACCCAGGAAGGCAGCAGATGAGGGACCAAGCACTTGGGTTCCTACCGCCCATGTGGGAAACTGGCACTGAGTTCTGGGCTTCTGGCTTTGGGCTGGCCTAGCCCTGGCTGTTGCGGACATATAGGATGGAACATCTTTCTGTCTCTACATGCCTCTTTGCCTCTTAAGTAAATCCATAAATCTCTGTGAAGACTGTGACGTTTGGATCAACAAGATTCTCAACAACATTGCCAGTTTTTGTTTGTGAATTTAGGTCACTGAGTGCTTACCCTGTTCTGATGGCCTATGCCACACAAACCCTACATTACTGAAGATAGGTTAATAAAAAATTAAATATGCATCACGGATTTGATAAAGAGGTAAGATTAAAACATCTCATTGATAAGTGTTTTCAAGGCAGACAATTAAGTTCCCCCACCCCAACCTACCTAACCCTTCCCAACTTAGGATCTCAAATGATAGCCCCTTAAGATTTAGTGACTGAGAAATGACCCAAATATATTTCATATTTAGAAATTTAAAATAAAAATTTTTAAAAAAGCACCCAGATTCAACTCACTGTCATGTTACAAGCATGTTACATCATTTACACACCATGCAAGCAAACACAGATCAAGCAATGCTCTGTGTTTAAACAAGAACGTATTTTCCCATAAAAAGAGGCTGACCAATAATCCAAGAGCAACCTGCCAGTTCAAGTTCTATCTGACCTACTTTATATGTATTGCTCTGTGTCAAGTTTATGGGACTAATATATCTATTCTAAGTAAGCCATTTAAAAACATGAATTTCAAGTGCTTCTTGGTTCTTAATAATAATTTAACATTTTTATTTGTTAGTAAAATTTCTTTAAAAAACAAGCATCTTCTAGAAAGTAAAGTACTACTGAAAGTTTAATTATTAGGACATAACCTCACAGTAAACACAAGAGTCAGAGATAGCAGCATCTGCCTGTACAAAGCAGAGTTTCAGGCATGCAATCTTTTTTTTTTTTTTAAGATTTATTTATTTGAAAGGTAGAGTTACAGAGAGGCAGAGACAGCAGTCTTCCAACCACTGGTTCACTCCCCAGATGGTCACAATGGCCGAAGCTGCACCAATCCAAAGCCAGAAGCCAGGAGATTCTTCCAGGTCTCCTACGTGGGTGCAGGGGCCCAAGGACTTGAACCATCTTCTGCTGCTGCTTTCTCAGGCCATGGCAGAGAGTGGGATGGGAAGTGGAGCAGTCAGGGCTTGACCCGGCACCCAAATGAGATGGTGGCACTGTAGGCAGTGGCTTTTCCCACTACGCCACACACAGTGCCTGCCCCAAAGCATGCAAATTTTATTTCTGGCTGCTGAAAGCCTAAATCAATCTCTTGACTACTTCCCTTAGGTGTTATGTTCCTAATATATCATATCATATCATCTTGGGGGAAACCTCAAGTATTTCCACCTAGATGTCAATTCCAATACAATAATCCTGTGAATTTGTCTTTTTTTTTTTTTTTTTTTTACAGGCAGATTTAGTGAGAGAGAGAGAAACAGAGAGAAAGGTGTTCCTTCCGTTGGTTCACCACCCAAATGGTCACTACGGCGGGCGCGCTGCAGTGATCCAAAGCCAGGAGCCAGGTGCCTCCTCCTGGTCTCCCATGTGGGTACAGGGCCCAAGCACTTGGGCCATCCTCCACTGCACTCCCGGGCCACAGCAGAGAGCTGGATTAGAAGAGGAGCAACCGGGACAGAATCCGGCACCCCAACCGGGACTAGAACCCAGGGTGCCGGCACCGCAGGTGGAGGATTAGCCAAGTGAGCCGCGGTGCCAGCCAATTTGCCTTGTCTTTAGGTGGTGTCAGCATTCACATGAATCTGTTTGCAAAGTCAGGTTGGCCAGACAGAGGTTTCTCCTAAGATTTTTTTTGCTGGTAATTTGCACAGGGTTTGGCCTTTTCTTCTTGATGAGTTAATAAAGTATATCTGCAAACCCCAAACTCTAAGTGATTTTCTGTCTTTGTACACAGGACATTTCTGCTTAACAGTCATGCTTCACGGCATCTCAAATTTTGTATTACTTTTGTTTAGAAGTGCCAGTTCCTTTAAATACATAAATCTATGCTTAAAAATGATGAGATTTTACGTATCCCTATTTCAGAGCTCCAAATATCGTTAAGAACAGAGAACTTTTCTTTCTCTTGCCATATATAAACATAAATAAACCGAAATGCAAAGGGTCCAGTGATTTGTCCAACTTTCAAGAGCAAAACAGAGATGCCAGTACAACAGAAAGGAACTTGGCTTTTAATGTCAGTGCATCAAGATCGTATGCAGGGCAGTGATCCTAATTATCCCGGTGGGAAAAGGTTACACTATTTACAGACTCTGAGTGCTGAAAGATACACTTGAAAATCACTTAGTCCAATTGTCTTCATTTCACAGATAAGGATGCAGAAGCTCCTAAGTTAAGCAACTGTATTCTTTTTTTCAAAATTATTTTTTCTTTGGCTGTCCATATAAACACTAGCTCTTTATTGTAATAAAGGAGCATACACTTTAAAACCAAGAGATCTGGAAACCCAGCTTTCAATTTATCTTCCAGTTTCTGGACAAGAGAGTTGTGAGCACAGTCATGTCGTCATCTCTACCAAGAATAGGAAAGACAATGGTTTCTTGATTTTCCACTTCAAAGACAATGTCACATTTCATGTCAAACCAACACAACGGAGGAAAGAAGCAAAGCCCGAGGGCTTTACAAGCATTTGTTTGTCGCTGTCAATCAGGAACAGGAACAATCCAGAGCCAATCCCTGGCTTTCCCAGAGCCACAGGAGGTGAGGTGGGTTGTGGGAAAATGTCTGAAGTGAGGGTTACTTAAGGCTGTTCAGAAATTTGGCATGTTCTTCTCCTCTTGGTAACAGGGTTTCTCCTCCTATTTTTGGACCAGTCTTTTCCTAGCAAAATGGGAAGTACTTTAATAAGAAATGGCTCAACAATTATTTGCATGGGTAACTAAAATTAGTCACAAACTAGTATGCAAATGACATACCTTTAGCATTCCATCCCGTTCCCATTTGTAGAGACCACAGTTACTGAAACAGAAGAGATGACTTTACTCAGTGGTGAGGCATGGGCCCAGACATGCAGACAATGGTGCTCTCGGCACTTGGGAGAGTACCCCCCACCCAGGGTTTGTGGAGATGCTAGTAGAGGTGCCCCTCACATCACAGGTCAGATCTGAGGTTATGTTCTAATGCTACAAATAAACACTCCAGGGAGTTGAGACACTGCCTTCAAAACTTTACTAAGCAAGACTTGAGTGATGCAGTTTCCAATGATGGTTTGACTGGGCTGTGAGCACTACAGGTGATGGATGCATCTCTAGTTATTATTGGTGGTACCGAGATGAGACAGATTTAGGAAGCCAGCCCTCTGATGCAGGGTGATCCATGGCTTTGCCCTGACTTCCTGTGCTTGGAGCTAAAGTGCTGTGAGCAGAAAAGGATTCATCCTCTTTTGAGGCTGGATCTTCCTTTTTCCTTAACCAGACTTTATCTGTCAGAGACTCCTGCTTGTACTTTCAACACAGTAGATGACCCCCCTCCCAGAGAAGGGATGTGGCCATTTTAGGGGAAAGCTCCCTGTCTACAGTCTACTCAAAGAAAGACAATATCATAAAGTCACATAAACATGTCTCCCAGCACCCTCAGGTTTTCTGGGGTCTGGGTGGGGCACAGGGGTGTTTTACTGTTTTACCTGCCTCATCTTTCTTCCTTGTTTGCTTTGGATTCTGTTCCTGTCCTGAGCATCAGTATGCTAGTGCCTTTGGTCCTGGGCCTCTCCACCACCTTCCCCAGCTAGCGACTGGCTCAATATCTACTCAGAGAACTCTAGTAGCCTACCCTGTGGGTCAATGATGATATTATTGGGGGAAAACCCCTCCATTCTAGCCAGGAGTCTATAAACTAAGACCCAAATGTAAGCCCACCACCCACTTACAAACATAGGCAGTTTTAAAAAATGTTATGGGGGTTGGCATTGTGGTATTGTTGTTGCACCCCATATGGGTGCAGGTTCTGGCCTGAGCCACTCCACTTCCAATCTAGCTCCCTGCTAAAGGACCTGGGAAGGCAGAGGAAGATGGCCCAAATGCTTGGGCCCCTGTACCCGCATGGGGAAGACCAGGAGGAAGTTCCTGGCTCCTGGCTTTGATCTGGTTCAGCCCTGGCTGTTGCTGCTGTTTAGGGAGTGACCCAATGGATGGAAGACTTCTTTCTCTCTGTAACTCTGCCTTTCAAATAAATAAATATTAAATTTTTAAAAATTTACTTATTGTAATTTATTTGAAAGGCAGAGAGGGACTGATCTCCCATTTGATTGTGCATTCCCCAAATGCTTGCAACAGCCAGGAGTGGACCAGGCCAAAGCCAGGAGGCAGGAACTCAGTCCTGGAGTGGGTGTCAGGAACCCAACCAAGTACTTGAGCCATCACCTTCTGCCTCCAGGATGTACATCAGCACGAAGCTGGAGTCAGTAGTGGAGCCCGAAGTCAAATCGAGGCACTCTGATTGGGATGCAGGTGTCCTAATCAGCATCTTAATTGCTGGGCCAAACACCTGCTCCTGTAAATAAAGCTTGATTTGAACACAGCCATGCTCATTTGTTTGTGCTTTATTTACGGCTGATCTCCTACTACAACAGTGGTGTGGAGTAGCTGCGACAGATCTTTTGGCCCGCAAAGCCTACCATAGTTATCATCTGGTCTTTTACATAAAAAGTTTGCTTATCTCTAGATCAAGAACTGGTAGGGGCCAGCACTGTGGTGTGCAGAGGGTTAAACTACTGCCTGCAGCGCCAGTATCCCACATGGGTACCAGTTAGTGTCCCGGCTGCTCCACTTCTGATTCAGCTCCCCTGCTAACGTGCCTGGGGAAGCAGTGGAAGATAGCCCTAGTGCTTGAGCTCCTGGACTCATGCTGGAGACCTAGATGAAGCTCCTAGTTTTAGCCTGGCCCAGCCCCAGCTGATGCGGCCATTTGGGGATTGAACCAGCAGACAGAAGATCTCCCTCTCTGTAACTGTTCTTTAAATAAATAAATAAATAAATCTTCAGGGAAAAAAATGGAACTGTTAAGAGAAAAATGCAGAGGAGGTACTGTTTCTACAAAAATAACAGTGCTACCTGGCGGCTGAAAGGCATCTCGTTCCTCCACTGGTGAGTTGTACTGACGGCTTATCCCTAATGAATAGCATTTTCCTAATGTTTTACATACGCTCTTGCTCTTATTATGGCACTTGTAGGAGTCTACTGTTCACAAAAGTACCAATACACAACTACCTACTTAAAATATTAGAATACCGACTGCAGAAAATCCACAAACGCGTCTGAAAAAGTGATGAACCAAGCTTCCTGAGTTCCTGGCTCCCATCCCCCATGATCAGCCCTGGAGACCTTGATGTGAGGGGGAAGGATGAATTCCGTGAGGTAACCAAAGCAAAGAAACATGTAGGTGCTCACAAGCTCCTGGGAGGGCTAAAGGTGATCAATAGCATATAACTTGTGTCTTTGAAGAATGATGCAAAAAAAAATTAGGAATTAGCAGAAAAGATGGCTACAGGCTGTCCATGTGTTTGGAAACTAAACATCAGTAAACCTCCAGTCAAAAAAGGGAAAAGTCATAAAGCACATGAAATACTTTTAGCTGCATGTCAAGCGTCGTGGCTGCTGCAGGGAAATATGCAATATAAATCCACTTGAGAAATGAGAAAGTTGAAAACTAGCAGGTTAAATTTAAGCATTCAACTGAAGAAGATGGCAAAAAGCACAGTACAAAACAAGCCCAAACAAAGAAGGGCAGATAAGGGGTGGGCACTGTGGCACAGCAGGTTACGCTGCCTCTCGGGACTGCTGCACCCCATCCTGGAGTACCTGGGTTTGGGTCCCACTCTGCTGATCCAGCTGCCTGCTAATGAGTAGCCTGGGAGGCAGCAGGCGATGTGCTTCGGCCCCTGCCACCCACACAGGGAACCCAGACAGAGATCAGGGCCCCTGGCTTCGGCCTGGCTCAACCCTGGCTATTGTGGGCATTTGAAGTGAACCAATGGATGAATGGAAGATCTCTGTCTCTCTACCTTTCATGTAAATGAAAATAAACATTAACATTTTTAAAAAAAGCTTATAACAACAGAAATCAATTCTTAAAAACACCACCAATAAAGATCAAGACAATGAAAAGGTGATTTTCTGAAAAGATGTCAGGTATCTCTTTACTCTGTTCAAGGTTGAACTTTTTAAAAACAGAAGAAAAAACAAATGAAATAACAACACTTTATGGCAAATAACTTGAAAAAATAGTAAATAACAGATTGAAAAAAATAAGAGCATTAGGAGTGATCAGATTTCAATAAATTTGAAAACCTAAATGGATTACCAAAAATATTACAAACATATAAAATGCTGAAAGTGGCAAAAGGCAGGTCACAAAAATATTGTATTAAAGAGACTGAAATGATGCTCAAGGCTACCTCTCCATCTGCCCAAAAAACCTAAGACTAAATAACTATAGTGGAGATTTACTAACTGAGAAATAATTGTTATTTAACACAAATTGTTTTCTGGAAGCTGTCTAGTTCAAACAAACCTCTTTCTAAAACCAGGAGAGGCTGATAAAAGACAGGAAAATAACAGGTCTAACTCATTCAGGCACAGACATATAAAAACCCTTCCTGGCCAGCGCCGTGGCTCACTAGCTAATCCTCTGCCTTGCGGCGCCGGCACACCAGGTTCTAGTCCCGGTAGGGGTGCTGGATTCTGTCCCGGTTGCCCCTCTTCCAGGTCAGCTCTCTGCTGTGGCCCAGGAGTGCTTGGGCCCTGCACCCCATGGGAGACCAGGAGAAGCACCTGGCTCCTGCCTTCGGATCAGCATGGTGCACCGGCAGCAGCGGCCATTGGAGGGTGAACCAACGGCAAAAGGAAGACCTTTCTCTCTCTCTCTCTCTCACTGTCCACTCTGCCTGTCAAAAAAAAAAAAAAACAAACAAACCCTTCCTAAGCGGTTAACTGAACTTGACAATGCGCTAAGAGAGCAGATCATCATCGTAAGATTGTCTAATGTTAAGCAGGAACAGCATTGCAAAGGAACGGGTAAAAGAGGGGAACAAAGAACCCCAGGCAATTCTCCTACCTGCAGTGCTTTCTGGGGAGTCTGTCGAGGGAGATACTTCTGTTTCCACAGGGACACTTGAAAAATCTTTTCACACCATCATGCCAGTGGTAGTCATGTTGCTCGCTGATGCAGGTTTCCAAAGGCTTGAAATGGGTGTAGGAGCACTGTACAAACCCACACACACACATACTTGTGAGACCCATTATCTGGCTCTGCCACTGATCTGCTCTGTGACAATCCGTCCCCTTGCTCCCGACCGGGTCCTTACAGGGACTGTACCACCTCATCTAGCTGCAGTGACCCAGGCTGATTTCTAGACCCTCCTTTATACTGATGACAATTTTTCTCATGTTGGTCCCAATTTCTGTCCAAGCAGGAAGCACACATGAATGTTCTGTGACATTAAGACAATAGTAACAGCAGAGGAAGAAAAGTACTGTTGACCTCTACGTAGCTTAGGTAAGTCCATTCTGAGTTCACTACAGGCCTTTGGGGGTTACCTAAAATACTCAGGCTCAGGACTTACTGGGGAAGGAGATATTTCACTTTCTCTTACAAGGTCTGTGACAAGGATATCAAGTCACTATTATTCTTATTTTTAAGCAGCAAAACCAAAACAGAGATAGCATGTAATTTACCTTTAATTTTGACTGATGGTAACAAGACATGGTGGATGCAGACTGCAACAGGTGCCAGGAGGGTGCCCAGCAATTTCTGGTAACTATGCTGAGTCTAGATACATTACTCTAGACACTGGTGACTTCAGCAAGTACAAAGCAGAATGCAATCTCTGCTGTGGCAGGCAGAATACTGATCCATTGACAGGGGTGGGGAACACCTGGTCTGGGGCCAGCACAAAGCCTACGCAATAATTTTGGCCCTGCCAAGACAACCATGAGAGCTGAAATTGAATAAACCCATAGCAGACTAATTTTTAAGCTGATAATTTGTGAATGATTTATAAATATCCAAATGGCCCTTGGCAGGAAAAAAAAAAAAAGACTGCCTCCCCTGCAAGGAACATGTAAACATTCTGTTCTCCAGAACCTGTACCTTAATGTTACATGGCGAAGGAGAATAAATATAGGTAGCAGGTGGAATCAAGACTGCTAATTAGTTGATCTTAAGACAAGGGGAGGGGCTGGCGTTGTGGTGCAGCGGGTTAAAGCCCTGGCCTTAAGTGCTGGCATCCCATATGGACACTGGTTCGAGACCCGGCTGCTCCACTTCCGATTCAGCTCTCTGCTAGGCCTGGGAAAGCAGTAGAAGATGGCCCAAGTCTTTGGGACCCTGCACCCACATGGGAGACCTGGAAGAAGCTCCTGGCTTCGGATCAGCACAGCTCCAGCCATTGCAGCCAACTGGGGAGTGAACCAGCAGATTGGAAGACCTCTCTGTGTGTGTGTGTGTGTGTGTGTGTGTGTGTAACGGCCCAGTGTTATCACAAGGGTCCTTTACCATGAACAGATGAGAGGAGGGGGTTGGAGTGCTTTGATGTCAGAGCTCAACCCGCTACAGCTGGCTTTTCAGGTAGGGGAGAGAGCCGTGGCCTAGCAACGAGGATGGCTCGGGAAGCTGGGAAGGCAAGGACAGGGATCCTCCCCGTGGCCTCCAGAAAGGAAGGCAGCCCTGTGAGCACCTCGAGTTACCCTGAGTGAGCCTTACACAGACTCACAGAACATAAATTTGTGTTCTTCCAGGCCAAGGAGTCTGTACTTAGCTACAGCAGCAACAAGAAACCAATACAACCACTACACCTTCCCATTTAGCACTGGGCCAGGGTAAAGCTATCATCTGAGGTCAAATGCAATGTATGCTTGCAATAATCACCTTTATTCATTTTCCAATGTATAAAGTTTCTCAAGAAAAGCCCTACCTTTTGGTGGCAGCTGATTCAAGGCTGATCTCCAAATATATAGAATTCCAGGTTTTTAAGGAAGCAAGATTGAGAAGCGTGTGTTTGGCAAGCTAAGTCTCTTCCCCTTCTTGCATGTTTATAAGGCTGACTGACCTTGCAGCACTTAGCAAGAACTTTCCCTCTGTTTTCTTTCCCATTTTATATTAATGTTCAAGAATTTTCTACGAGTCAAAACTCAACAAACACAGACAATTCATGCTCTGACAGAAGATTCATTTAGTAGACTGCACCACGAGTAGAAAGAGATGGAGTTGATCACAATGAGTGGTTAACCCAAGAAGTCCAAACATCGTCCCTGGGACTGGATGCTGGGTCAAGGACACATCAGAAGTTGAGACAAAGTGCTAAGACCAGGGTGGATTTGGTGGTCAGTGGGCAAGGGATGTTAAGAGGCCAAATGCTCAGTGAGAAACTGGGAGCTGTAGCCAAATGAGGAGACTCTTCTTGGCAAATGCTCCACGGGCAGAGCTCTGAGCCAGGCAGGAAGCCAGACCGTGGCTGTGCCAGGCTGTTTGGTCTCCAGCCTAATTTAATGACGCAAGCCCCAATGTCCTCCTGAGTCACACTGGCATAAAGCAGTGCCCAGCTGGAGGCCACGGCTTCACTCACCGTTCTGCAGGTCACTACTCGACACTTCACTTCGCGGATGTTTCTCATCTTTTCTTCCATTTGTTCTTTTTTCACCAGTGGCTCGAAATAGCGCTCCTGCAGCTCAGCCTCGGTCTGGAAGGACAAGGCACATGGGAGCTCTTGTCCTGAATCTAGTATTTCCCCCAGGCAGGTCAGTGAGAATAATTCAAGTTACTGAAATGATTCAGTTCAACAACCAAACAGAACTGAAGAGGTAAGCTAAACGTTAGAAGACTCCAGACAGCACCTCAATGTCACCCAGAGATGATGGTAAGAAGGAAAAATGCCCACAAGGGACACAGGAGCACTTGGAGATTTATACAACATGTAAATAAAACTCACTAGCATTATTCAGTGTCATGATACCAAGTTTGTACCAGAGGCAGCTATTTCTGCTGTTCAGGGCAGACCTCATACGCGGAAGGCACTCAAGACCTCCCCAGGGATGACAGCCCCGTCTTTCACTCTTCCCAAGATCACACACGCGGCAAGGAAATGTCCTGCGTGTTTGGAACAACAGGGAGTTAAGTGCAAAGACAGACAGATTTCTGGCACAGCACAGGCACAGCTCTGGAGGTAGCATAGCCACACAGGGCCCAGGGCCTTCGGTCGCAAGAGGCAAGGAAGGACCTCAGCTTGACATGTGCTTCAAGTGCAGTGGGAAGATATAAGGAACTGTCTCACTGGCCATTTGCTAACTGACAAGAGAGTCACTCATTCAGGGCAATGGTACTGAGAGGGTGCAGCACTGCCCCCAAGAATATTCAGATTTTTGTTATCTAATGACTGCTATCTTGGCTGCTGGCAGGGACCAGGGATGCTACATATGGAGTAGTCCACCTCACAACAAAGGGGTTACTCCTTGTTCCACATGGCTTCTGAGTGTTCTCCAGGACATCTGCATGCCTGAGAAACCTGAGTATAACCCTGAACCTGACCGTTATTACATAATCCTCCAATATTTGCACATGGCTTTAACATACATTGATTATTCCAAGACTACAATTATGCAACGTCTGTATATACTCAGGGACAACTGTGGTTTTCCAAGATTATTCTAATCTTCAAGAAAATCAAAGAAACGAGCCTATGGTATTTAAATTCACAAGAAAACACACCTTTACCAGTCTATTTCTAGCTGTCTCATTTGCACTTATAAATTGAAGCCTCTGACTACTCATTATTTCTTTGAGGGTGACTGTGTCTAAATATTTACACAATGACATATCTATCTTATCAGAAATATTTTTCCTTCCTTCTTTATAGCAGGACACTATCAAATATTTTCAAAATTACTAGTATAAGTACTTCATATTATCCATGCATTTTTATTTTGAGATGAGAAGGAGATAATTCAGAACACTTGTTTTTAAAAAGGGGCATTGGGAGTAGCAGAGTTACTACTGATATAGAGCATATGAAATGTCAAAAATAAAAATATTCTTCAGTGCAAGGGCAAGGGCAGAACTGAAATCCGCAAGACGTACTCCTTCTCTTGAAAGCAGACTCAAACAAACAGTAGCTGAAGCTGCCTTCAGCTCCTGCTTGGTGTACGTCAGAGCAGCACTCTTGGCCCTGTAACAAAGCACCCAGGGTCTGAGGGTGTTGACACCACCCTTGATCCTTTGGGATTTTACCTCTTTCAGGATGCTGGTGTGCTTTGATTTGGCTTTGAGAATTTTCTGAAATTCCTCAGATTCCAGGTAGGCAAGCTGTTCTCTCCTTTTCTTCTTGGCAGGCTCCAATTCGTCCTCTGCTAGAACAGGAAGGAACAATGTTAGCTGTTACACTGAACTTTCAGAAAGCCAATGTGGGCCTCACTGACTCAGCTGCTTTCCCCTCTTTCCCTCTCCATCCACCAGGTCCTATAAACCTGACTTGGGGGGCTGGCGCTGTGGTGCAGCAGGTTAACACCATGGCCTGAAATGCCAACATCCCATATGGCCGCTGGTTCTAGCCCCGGCTACTCCTCTTCCAATCCAGCTCTCTGCTATGGCCTGGGAAAGCATTAGAAGATGGCCCAAGTCCTTGGGCCCCTGCACCCATGTGGGAGACATGGAGGAAGCTCCTGGCTCCTGATCAGCACAGCTCTGGCCGTTGCGGCCAATTGGAAGGAAGACCTTTCTCTCTCTGTCTCTGCTTATCTGTAACTCTGCCTTTCAAATAAATAAATAAATATTAAAAACAAACAAAACACCTGACTTGGTACCAGCAGGGGAAAGCTCTCAAGTAGACCAGAATCTCTTTGTCACATTAAAATCGGAAGCTGACTATACTATTTTTGTAACAACAACAAAAATCTGATTTTAAATGACACGAGTTTTGTTTTTGTTGTTGTTGTTGTTGACAGGCAGAGTGGACAGTGAGAGAGAGAGACAGAGAGAAAGGTCTTCCTTTGTCGTTGGTTCACCCTCCAATGGCCACCACGGCTGGCACGCTGCGGCCGGCACACTGCGCTGATCCGAAGGCAGGAGCCAGGTGCTTCTCCTGGTCTCCCACGGGGTGCAGGGCCCAAGGACCTGGGCCATCCTCCACTGCACTCCCGGGCCACAGCAGAGAGCTGGCCTGGAAGAGGGGCAACCGGGACAGAATCCGGTGCCCTGACCGGGACTAGAACCCAGTGTGCTGGCGCCGCAAGGCGGAGGATTAGCCTGATGAGCCGCGGCGCCGGCCCAAATGACACGAGTTTTAAAAATGTAATTTAAAAGAAGAGAATCATATCTTTCAAAGTAAATCTTTCTGCTGAAAGTTGATGGGAAAATGGAATTAAAAGGTAAGTTTATTTTGGTGCAAAAATTTTGGAACTCATGTTTATAGCTTTTTCATAGTACGCATTTTTCATGAACTTTTGGAAGACGTTGTACATGTGTACAAAGATCCAATGAGGAACTGTGCATAATTTCATGTGATTATAAAAAGCAATCACTTCCAGTTGAAGAAATTCTATTTAGATATATATAGGGAAGAGGCAGTCAAGTGATGACTGGATACCAGGGGCACTGGTTATGGTTTAGAATACCTCCTTTATTAACAGTTCTCTTTCCCACTGCTAACTTTGAAACTGCAGTACCTTGAGGAGAAATCGCGTTGTTCTTTTCCACACGTTCCTTTACTTCCAGGATGTCCTGGGTGTCCTTTTGCTTCCTTTTAATGTTGTTTGGATCTGTTTTTGTAAGAACCTGGCCTTTTGTTCTCAATTTAGCAATAGCAGCTAACTAGGAAAAAAAAGAGAAGGAGGTAAAAATACAAAAGATAGACATCTTTAACCTTACACTTCTTTCTGGTTATTAACCAGAGGATGATGGCTGTTCTTGAAAATGTTTTTTCTTTTTTTTAAAGATTTATTTATTTGAAAGTCAGAGTTATACAGAGACAGAAGGAGAGGCAGCGAGAGAGAGAGAGAGAGAGAGAGAGAGAGAGAGAGGTCTTCCATCTGCTGGTTCATTCCCCAATTGGCTGTAACAGCCTGAGCTGTGCTGATCTGAAGCCAGGGGCTTCTTTTGAGTCTCCCACACAGGTGCAGGGGCCCAAGGACTTGGGCCATCCTCCACTGCTTTCCCAGGCCATGGCAGAGAGCTGGGTCGGAAGTGGAGCAGTCGGGTCTCGAACCAGCGCCCATATGGGATGCCAGCGCTTCAGGCCAGGGTGTTAACCTGCTACGTACGCTACAGCACTGGCCCCCAGAATGTTTTCATTTCAGGGTGAGCATTGTGGTACGGTGGGTTGAGCCCCAACTTGGGATGCCCACATTGCCACAGTGAAGTGTCAGTCCAAGTGCTTCTTACTCAGTGCTTCTCCTCTAGCTTGCTGTCAATGTACCCTGGGTGGCAGCAGATGATGGTCCAAGCACCTGGATCCCAACTACCCATGTGGGGGACCTAAATAGGGCTCCAGGCTCCTGGATCTGGCCTGACCTAGCCCTGGATATCACAGGCATTTGAGGAGTGAGCCTATGGATAGAAGATCTCTCTATCATCCTGCCTTTCTGATAGTGCTTTTGTCCCTGCACCCATGTGGGAGACCCAGATGAAGCTCCTGACCCCTGGCTCCAGTCTGGCCCAGCCCTGGCCATTATGTCCATTTAAGAAGTCAAACAGCAGATGGACGTTCTCTCTGTAACTCTGCCTCTGTAAATCTTAAAACAAAACAAACAAAAAAACCCAGGAGCCAGGAACTCCATCCAGGTCTCCTACATTGAATGGTAGGAACCCAACTACTTGAGCCACCATCTGCTGCCTCTCTGGGCACATTAACAGAAGCTGGATCAGAAACAGAGCAGCCAGGACTCAAAGTGGCGTTATGATAGGGGATGAGGGCAACATAAGCTGCAGCCTAATCTGCTGTACCACCACGCTGCCCCGTGAGATTTCTTTTAAAGAAAGATTCATTAAACCACTAGTTTAAAGTCTCATCTCAACAATTCCAAGAACTTTTTTCCCAGTGCCAGTGTCTCCACCTGTAAAACAATACCTTCCTTGAGAATATCTCCTTCAGTCTGTTAGGACATGGTATGGAGACAGTGGCATGAACCTGCTCAGATTAAACTAATGGTGTGATTTATGTTGACACTATTTTTTTTTCTTTTTATTTATTTTCTTTTAAAGATTTAGCCATTTCTTTCAAAGTCAGAGTTACACAGAGATAGAAGAAGCAGCAGAGAGGGAGAGAGAGGTCTTCCATCCGCTGGTTCACTCCCCAACTGGCCGCAATGGCTGGAGCTGTGACACTCCGAAGCCAGGAGCCAGGAGCTTCCTCCAGGTATTCAACGCAGATGCAGGGGCCCAAGGACACTGGCCATCCTCTACAGCTTTTCAGGCGATAGCAGGGAGCTGGATCGGAAATGGAGCAGCTGGGACTCGAACCAGTGCCCATTTTGGATGCTGGCACGGCAGGCAGCAGCCTCACCAGCTACCCCACAGCGCCAGACCTGACACTATTATCATTTCAAACTGCTTTGCCTGTAATGATCATGATTGCTAAACAGCTGTTAGGTGTCTGTCTTTCCTGGATGTAAGTACACAGAGTTTGACACTCAGGGTATATCTCACAGAATGCAAAATTAAATGTTAAAGAGAACAGATGCCGGGGCCAGTATTGTGATATAGCAGGTAAAGCTGCTGCCTTCAACACCAGCATCCCTTATGGGTGCTGGTTTAAGTCCTTGCTGCTCCACTTCTGGTCCAGCTCTCTGCTAATGGCCTGGGAAAAGCAGCGGAGCATGTCCTGAGTATCTGGGTCCCTGCCATCCACGTAGGAGACCCGGATGAAGCTCCTGGCTCTGGCCTGGCCCGGCGCTGGAAGATCTCTCTGTCTCTCCCTCTAACTCTGACTCTCAAGAACAAATGCCACTTACCTTTTTGGCCTCTGCTAAAGCACTTAGTTTTGGTTTTGGAGGTGGTGACTCATCAAAGAAAAGAACATCATCTCCTTCAGAGATGCCTCGCCCAAGCTTCGGCGTCTGCGTGGCCGGGGCTCCTTCCAGCTGTGGGAATTTGGGGGGCTGTCGGGATGAGGATGGCATGGCGGGGCTGCTGACCTCACTTGAGCTTTGGAGAAACCTTTACAAAGGAATATGAAGAAACGAAATATGCAAACGGGGCTTCCCAGAGATGAAAACCATGTCTGCAGAACTCCAAGTGGACTGAGAGAATGTAGGCAGTCGATGACTGTTTTCCACTGCTTAGTTAATAATTCATATCAGCACACTATAAGAACAACAGTAGTTTCACTAACTCTGGTTACTTAACCTTCCACTGAATAAGCTATAACTGTTCTACCACTTCTCTGCTGAGTTTGTAAACTGCCCCTCAATGATAGACAAACGGCCCCAAGATACATGTTTTGTTTGGTCAGAAAATTCTGAAAGTTTTCCAATTGTAACACTCTCTGACAAGTGCTCTCTATTTCAAGACTCACAACCCCACATGAATTTTTATGTCCTTATATACATTTACATCAACTAGAGGCACGTGATAAATATCTGTACAGACACCCTACCACACCTCTAAGTAGCCTACTGGAGACTAATTCTCTTATTTTTCCAAAGAAATCCCTCTTTGACTTAGAACTGCCTTTGCTTTCCATGGAGCCATCTGCCCTTCAGGAGCTGATACCTGGGACAGCATATCGGTGAGATGCTGGAGTAGAACTGGTCTGAGTTTGAAACTTAGTTCTCTGACATTCAGTTGTGTTAAGAGTAAAACACAGGTCACAAACCTCCCAGAGTTACTGAAAGGACCGAAGGAGATGCCGTATTTATGGACTGTACTGCACGGTGTATACTAAGCTCCTGCAGACAGTGCTCTTATCAGCACTCAACCTGAATTCAGGAATCTTTGACTCAGCTACCTTCCACATCCGCTTCTATTTGATTTTGCCTCCAAAATGACTCTCTATTTTAAGTGCCTCTTTTTTATCATTTATTTTAATAACTGCAAAAATCTACTTATTGGCTCTGCCTATAATTAAAAACCTAATTGTGGTAAATCAAGAAATGAAAGTCAACAGGTAAGTGCACGCTTTCCTCTTTTATAAAAATCCTCTTCCTATTTCACTCCTTTCCCTTTCCCACAGTGATGCTAAGGACTCTAACCTGCATCCTTAGTCACTAGCCTAAGTAGACACACACAGCTTTAAAAAAAAAAAAAACATTAAATAGAGAAACAAGAAAGAGATGGACAGAGCTCCCTATCTACTTGTTCACTCCTAAAAGCCTGCACAAGAGGGGGTGGGGTACAAAGCCAGAAGCTGGGGACTCAATCCAGGTCCCTTCATGGGGTGGCAGGAACCCAATTCTGTGAGCCATCACCGCTGCCTCCTAGAGTGTACATGAACAGGAAACTGGAGTCAGGAGCTTGAGACTGGCACTGAACCCAGACACTAAAGTGGGACATGGACGTCCTAATAGATGTCTTAACAGCTAGTCCAAATGCTTGTCCCCATATCGCCTAAATGCTATCTAGGTTACAATAGGATGATTTAAAAACTAATAAATTAAAATGTAACCACAGGGCCCATGTTGCAGTACAGCAGGTTAAGCTGTAGCTGGCATCCCATATGGGTGTTGTTGGTTCAAGTCCTGGTTGCTCTACTTCCAATCTAGCTTCCTGCTATTGTGCCTGAGTAAGTGGCAGAAGATGGCCCAAGCCCTTGGGCTCCCGCACCCATACAAGAGACTCGGATGGGGTTTCAGGTTCCTGGTTTCAGCCTGTTCCAGCCCTGGCCGTTGTGGCCATACGGGGAGCAAACCAGGGGATGGAAGATCTCTCTCCCTCTCTCACTGTCTAACTCTGCCTGTCAGATAAATAAATGTTTAAAAAACAAAAATTTTACTCATCAAAATCTGACGTCATATTTTTGAAATCTATGAAGACATCCTGAGGACTCCTCAGACGAGTTGCCTGAACAGGGAATATAAAATGTGCTACTCTTACCGTTTCTGTATTTCTTCTGATTTCCTTTTCCTTATCTCCAACATGTGCTGCTTCTGTTGTTTCAAGAGGGCTGATGCCGAAATAGACTGGATGGCAGGTTTTGGGCTCCCCATGATTCCTACAATACAATACACATCTGCAGGGTTTCGTGAGAGGCAAAGGAACCCTGGCATACACAGGGCAGCCACACAAACTAACTGTACCTGAAGCCTTGGTTTTGGCTAAATGTTGTTTTAAGTTCCTGGCTCCAAATGTCGGCAGGTCCATCAACTCCCTGAACTCCTCAGAGCAAGACAGGCTCTTCTGGGGTATTCCTGCAATGCATACACATCAGCTTTAGAGGACTCACAATCCAGACAGTTGGAATCACCACTCTGAGCCTGTGCTCATAATTTAGTTATCTGCAAATGAATATCAAGAAACAAAAACCTCTTAATCTTGAACATCAGACTAGTAGGATTAGAATGGTATCATACATGAGAGAATCTTTAAAGGTCTGCGGAAAATATGTTACCGCATAATTTCAAAATTTTATGGCAAAAATAAATGTGTCTTTTAACTCCATTTATTTCATGACTTTTTTTTTTTTTACTTTTTATTTTATTTGACAGAGTTAGAAAGGTCTTCCTTCCGTTGGTTCACCCCCCCAAATGGCTGCTATGCGGCGCGTCGCAGCCAGTCCGCTGTGCCGATCCAAAGCCAGGAGCCAGGTGCTTCCTCCTGATCTCCCATGCGGGTACAGGGGCCCAAGCACTTGGGCCATCCTCCACTGCCTTCCCGGGCCATAGCAGAGAGCTGGACTGGAAGAGGAGCAACTGGGACTAGAACCTGGCACCCATATGGGATGCCGGCACTGCAGGCGGAGGATTAACCTAGAGCGCCACCACACCGGCCCCTATCCATGACCTTTTAAAGTACCTTTACATGTTACTTCAAATAATGATTAAAATACGAAGCACTTAAAATACTAAGCACTTAATATATGTGGGTCATTTCTTTTTTTTTTTATTTTTATTTTTTTTAACAGGCAGAGTGGACAGTGAGAGAGAGAGACAGAGAGTGCCGTTGGTTCACCCTCCAATGGCCGCCGCGGCCGGCGCGCTGCGGCCGGTGCACCGCGCTGATTCGATGGCAGGAGCCAGGAGCCAGGTGCTTTTCCTGGTCTCCCATGGGGTGCAGGGCCCAAGCACCTGGGCCATCCTCCACTGCACTCCCTGGCCACAGCAGAGAGCTGGCCTGGAAGAGGGGCAACCGGGACAGAATCCGGCGCCCCGACCGGGACTAGAACCCGGTGTGCCGGCGCCGCTAGGCGGAGGATTAGCCTAGTGAGCCGCGGCGCCGGCCCCATTTCTTTTTCTTCTTTAAGATTTATTTATTTGAAAGGCAGAGGGATAGAGATTGAGAGACAGAGACCAATATTCCATCCTCTGGTTCACTCCCCAAATGCCCATAACAGTCAGGGCAGGGCCAGGCTAAAGTCAGGAGTCAGGAACTCCAATTCAGTCTTCCATGTGGACAGGAGAAACCCTAGTACTTGGGCTGTCATCTTCTGCTTCCCAGGCACATTAACAGGAAGTTGGATTAGAAGCAATGTGGGATTAAAGCCCAGGTGCTCTGATGTGGGTGTCCCAAGTGGCAGCTCAACTCTGCACCTCAATGCCCACAGGGTCATTTCATGCACTATTCTGGAATATGCACCATGGATGAAGAGTACATGCTAAGCTCTGACCACTGTTTATGACTACAAGCACAGAGTTGGGAGAAGTATTCTGATTCCAATGCTGGACATTAAGTTTTTCCTAGGAGGCCAGCACTGTGATGTAGTGGGTAAAGCCACTGCCTGCAGTGCTGATGTCCTGTATAGGCACCAGTTCGAGTCCTGGACGTCCACTTCCAATCCTGCTCCCTACTAACATGCCTGGGAAAGCAGTGGAAGATGGCCCAATTGCTTGGGTCCCTGCACCCATGTGGGAGACCTGGAACAATCTCCTGGCTCCTGGCTTCAGATTGGCCCAGCTCCAGCAGTTGCAGCCATTTGGGGAGTGAACCAGCGGATGGAAGATCTCCCTGTCTCTCCCTCTCCCTGTAACTCTGCCTTTCAAATAAATAAACCAATCTTAAAAAATAGGAGATTCCAGGCCAGCTTTCTGCTGTGGCCCGGGAGTGCAGTGGAGAATGGCCCAAGTGCTTGGGCCCTGAACCCCATGGGAGACCAGGATAAACACCTGGCTCCTGCCTTCGGATCAGCGCGGTGCACCGGCTGCATCCGCCAGCCACGGCGGCCATTGGAGGGTGAACCAACGGCAAAAGGAAGACGTTTCTTTTTCTCTCTCTCTCTCTCAATGTCCACTCTGCCTGTAAAAAAACAAAAAAACAAAAACAAAAAAAAAAAAAAAAGGAGAAAAAAAAGAGTTTGACCCAGGAGCAGGTATTCAGTGTAGCAGTTAGGATGCCCATGTGCCCTATCAGAGTACCTGGGTCTGATCCCCCAGCTCCTGCTAACATGTACTGTGGACATTGGGAGGCAGCAGTGATGGTTCAAGTACTTGGGTCCCTGTCACCCACATGGGGGACCTGGATGAGCTCCAGGCTCCATGTTTGGACCTGGCCCAGCTCTGGGTGCTACAGGCTTTCATAATGTGAACCAGCGGAGAAGCTCTCTTTCTGTTTCTCTCTCAAATAAATAAATAAAATAAACTATAAAAATTGTTTGTCCCAGATGTATTAAGAAAATTTAAGCAGCACCCACAACTTAAAAAAAAAAAAAAAAACAGCTGAGATGAATATGCTGCTTTTCCTGAATGTTCTGCCAACAGGCTGAGCCCTTCACATGCCTCCCTAAGTGTGGGTAGTGAGTGGGTGTTCCCAACTTTAGGAGTATAAGCTACGGCTATCTTGCACCCCAAAGACTGCATATTTCAACTGGAGGAAGAAATTGTGTATGGAGAAACAAAGTTACCGAGCTTTTGCTGGGTTTCCTGAATGATCAGGTCCGTGCCCTTCACGACCAGATTAGTCAGAGTGGTCTGAATCTTCTTCTTGGGAGCAGCGGCGGCTGCCCTGAAACGATAAGGGCCGCCCCCAAAGGGAAATCACGCAATGCCCGTGCTCTGGGGAGGCAGAGGCGCAGGCGCAGACACCTTGGCAACTGTCGAAGACGCTCAGTACCAACCTCCTACGCTTCCTACAGACACGGCCCTGCAGCTCAGCTGCTTCCCGCAGTGTCTCAGGAGAAAAACGAACAGCAGCCAACTAATCTGCTTGAGGCCATTCTAGAAGGGCAAGAGATAAAAATATATGCCAGCATTTGATGTGGAAGTCTAGGGATTTATCTTAAAACAATTAAAGACCACGCAAAAACTTAAAGTATTATCGACTGCGGCTTAGTAAGTAAGTTAGAAACTCCATTAATGTTTATCCATAGGGAACAAAGGAATGCCATGCAGGGGCCTGCGTTGTGGTGCTACAAGCTAAGTTGTGGCCTACAATGCTGGCATACTGCTCTACTTCCTTTCCAGCTCCCTGCTAAAGTCGTTGGGAAAGCAGTGGAAGATGGCCCAAGTGCTTGGGCCTCTGCGACCAATGCCGGAGACCTGGATAGTGTTCTGGACTCCTGGCTTTGGCCTGGCCCAGCCTTGACCATTGAGGCCATTTAGGGAGTGAACCAACAGGTGGAAGATCTCTTTATCTGTCTCTTCCCTTCTGTCACTCTGCCTTCCAAATAAATAAAATAAATCTTTAAAGAAAAAAAAATACTACGCAGCCACTAACAATAATGCCATAGGTGGATATTTTGCAAAAAACATTTTATGTGGGGGAAAAAAGAAACAAAGTTACAAAGTTTGGGTGCAGTGTAATCTCATTTCACAGTACCAAAAATGTATACATTGAAAAAAAACAGACCTCAAACAATTAGAAACATATATATCAAGGAACTAAGTTTTCTAAGTGGTAGGATTATAGGTGGCTTTACTTTTTTCTTTTTGATTGGACTGTATCTTCTTTTTAAAGACAATAATGTGTGAGGATTGCTTCTAACAATTTGGAAAAACACAGAGATTATTTTACATCTTAAAAAATGTGCTGATGTTACCAAATAGGCAGGAACTGTAAGTCCTCTTGCCCAGCTCCTGTTGGGAATAGAAACAAAGTCTGCTTCCTGAGTCAGCTGCTGTTCCCCTGAATGAAGTCTGTGCCCCTGTCACGTCCTCCTCGCTCTGTACAATAGGTGACAAGGCCATTGCACATCTAGTTCAGGGACTCCAGGGACCATCTGCAGCCCCCAGAACAGGTCAGGTATACCTGCAGCATCACCCTACTCCCCACATGCCAGTGGCGTATTGGCTCACGGCACATTTGCTCAACAAATTCAACTCGGGTTCCCAGAGTTCTGCAACTTCAAACCAGTCGTAAGGGGAATGGCTCAAAGGATGTTAGCACTTTTAGCACACACTCAATGGCTGTGCAGCCAGCCCTAGGAAAGTGGCACTGTCCACTTTGGGAGTCAAAGAGGTTGTATGTTAAGGGCCATCATGACATGACTTAGTCCATCTCTCCCCATGGTGTTCCTTCCTCTCCACCAGGGAATAAAACAGGTCTTCGTCTGCCCTGTTACCGGCAGTGAGCTGGTATCCTATGAGTTACAGGAAAGCACACCCACTGGGTCTACTCTTATTAAGCCAAACAAAGCCCTTGCCCCCAAAGAAGCCCCCAAACCAGCTTACATCGAGGCTGCGTATGACGCAGAAGAAACTCCTCCATAGTAAAAACCATCCTGACACAGCCGTTCTTTCAGGCTGGCGCCTCTGCGGGTAAACTTCTTAGGAATCCGTCCTCCGGAAAAAGTAGACTGCAGATCGGCTCGCTTCGCACTGAGCTTCTTGTACTGAGCCTGGACGTGATACTGGCAGTACTCACAGTCGTTCTGCAAAAGGAAGAGCGGCTGCATGGGGACTAGGGCGTCAGACGGGGAGCGATGGTGGAGACGCAGTTCTGGGTCCCATTCCCCCAGCCTTGCAAGGCACTCTTCTGCATGCAGACTCCTCACTGCCTTCCATCAGGACCAGCCCCCAGGGGGAGGGCTGTGCAGTTGCTGAGGGGCAGAAGTTCTTAAATACTCTTAATTTCCCTGTAGGGTACTAGTCTGATAAAAGAACAAGTGATATAATTCATGCCTTTTGCCCTCTTTCTACAATGGAAATAAAACAAGTTTCCAGGAGGAAAGCTGAAATGGTGCCAAAAAAGAAGTTGGCTGCACGGTCATATGTTGTAGGATTCCTTTTGTATGATATATCCAGAGTAGGCAAACCCACAGAGACAGCTGGTGAGAGGTCACCCCTTGGAAGGGGATGGGATTATGGGATGGGATGATTACTTAATGGGTACAGGATATTTAATGCAGTGATGAAAAGTTTTGGAACTAGAGGACTAGTGGATGAACAACTGAAAACCTGAATGGTACATTTTAAAAACAGTTAACTTGGAGTGAAGAGGGGGGTGTTTGGTCTAGCAGTTAAGACACACGCATCCCATTCTGGGTTGGATGCTTGGCTCTGGCTCCCAATCCCAGCTTCTTGCCAATGTAAACCCTGACACTATATAGGTCACGTAACTGAGTCTCTGCCACCCACAAGGGAGACCCAGATTGAGTTCTTGATTCCTGGCTTTCACCAAGCCTAGTATTAGCTGTTGCAGGCATCTGGGAAGAGAACCAGGGAACAGGAGCTCTCTGTCTCTTGAATTAAGAAAAACAGTCAACTGTATGAATGCAAATTTTACTTCAATAAAAAATAATTCAAAATGTAATAAACTTAACATAATAAGTTTAATAAATTAAAAAATGTCTATCGACCAGTGAATGAATAAAGAAAACATAGTATAGGAATGCAATGGGATACTAACCACAAAAGGAATGAAGTACTGACACATGCTGCACGAAGGATGAACCTTCAAAATATTATGCTAAGTGGAAGAAATCAATCACAAAAATGTCACATAATGTGATTCCATTATATGAAATGTCTACAGTAGGCTAAACAATAGAGGTGGCAAGTAGATCAGAGGTGGAGGGGCGCACAGTAACTGTTAATGGGGATGGACTCCTTTGTAAGGAATGAAAATACTTGGAAATTATACAAGTGATTGTTGTAGAACTCTGAATCTGCTAAAAAGGACTGGACTAAACACTTCAAAAGGACAAATTATGCAATTATGCATGAATTATATCACAATGAAGTTTTTTTTAAAGCTCTAAGAAAAGGTGTATTAAAATATGGGCTAAAATAAGGTTTTCAGTGTATTTCATTTGATCTTTGGGACTACAAAAAACTGAGGGCACACTAAAATTCTTTCTTATATCTCCCAGCCAGTGGCAAAAGATCACCTTCCTAAGAGGTTAAACCCCCTGCCTCAGCTTTTTAAACTGGCAATTATTAACCACACATTGAATATTCTCATTTTCACTTTTCCTGTTAAATTCAGTTCCAAATTGGCCATTATAGCTAAGGTACCATCAGTCTATTCCTAGTAGTTCCCTTCTATAATAATCCTAACAAGGCTGAAACCAACCAAATTCACAGTCTGGGTACATGGTTCTCCATTCTTCTTCTTTGCTTTACAGGTTCCCAAGTCAAGAGCTTCTCCCATAATTAGGACCTTTTGGGGATGATCAATAGATAAGCACACCTGCTTAAAAAAAAAAAAAAAAAGAGTGGGTAGAAAGTAGGAATTAAAGACAGACAAAACTGTGGCTGGTGCTAATTTAAGATCTTACAGTCTAAAGGAATTTGAAGCCAGCATTCTAAAAAACATTTTTAGAAATGACAGTGCAGAAGATACAGTTCTCTTCCCAGTATCCATCTTGTCCTCCATCTCCACCATCAGAATCCTGTTTTAATGGGCTGGCCTTGGGTAATGGATCCTGTTCCCTATCCCATAGAATTCCTTATAGCTAGCAAGCATCATCTGACCTGATTACGATTTAGCCAGTTAGCATCAGTAGGAAGCAGTAGGGAAGCCTTTGCTTTCCCATTAAATGGAGACAGAAGAGGCTGGCTCACCCTTCCTCTTCTCTTCCTGCTCTGAATGGAGATATTGCAGGATGGCAGGTCACCAAACCACCTGGACTGACCCAGCTCTCTCCCTCACAGTTCTCAAGCAGAGTATACGCAGAATGCAATGTCCTGAGATAAGCAGTCTGAGCCTTGTCCTTCTCCTCCTAGAACAGGACGCCCTGTAATACTTGAACTTAGCCAATTCCTGTGGCTGCTGGGTCATAAAACCCCAAGCAGTGTGATTTCAGAGTCTCTCAGCTATGGCATGAAGAAGGCTGTGTACAGATAAGATTGTGTCCACATTGCACAATTTTCTTAAGCCACAGGGAACAGACAGACCCCAGATGCACCCCAGGCTTCTGTTGCTTCCTTTTGTCACCTGTGAGTAATGAAGCTTCTTTGCCTGACTTGTGTGAGTGCTCTATGTTATCAGACTCATACTCTGGCAGCTGGCTTTGTGCAAAGGCCCAGAACCTGCCAGATGTGGGAATCTTCGCAGAAACTGGCAACATGTTTGGAATCCTCCCTTGGGGCTGGTAACCAGCATGTGGTGTTCTCCTCACAGGCATTGATAATGTGCACAGGATTCTGCTTTACAGCAATGGCTTTACATAAACCCATCTTGTGATTAAGAGGAAAAGGCTGAGAGATTGACAGAGATACATACTGTCCTGACATCACTAACTGCGCATGTCTCGATTTTTTCACTATGTAAGGAAAGTAAAATCTGCTGTTCATTGTTAAAAAGAAAAAAACAAAACAAAACAAAAATCACCTGCAATGCCTGTTAGAGTCCTGGCTGCTCTGCTTTCAAGCCAGCTCCCTGTTAATAAGCCTGGGAAAGGAGGAGATGATGGCCCAAGTATTTGGGCCCCTGTCACCCATGTGGGAGACCCAGATGGAGTTCTGTATTCCTGGCCTCAGCTTGGCCCAGCTCCAGCCATTGTGGCCATTTGCAGAGTAAACAGACAGATGTAAGATCTTTGACTACCTCCCCACCCATATCTCTATCACTCTGCCTTTCAAATAAATAAATCCTTAAAAAAAATTAATGGAGCAAAATTCTCTGAACGGTAGAACTCCAGGAACCTTGGAACTAATTTGAAAAGTTACAATGAAAGCAAATTGTGGGGCAGGTGCCCTCATCCTGCATCACAGTATCTGGGTTTGAGTCCTGGCTCTGCTGATGCCTCTAGCTTCCTGCTAACCTGCACCCTGGGAGGTAGCAGCTGATAGCCCAAATACCTGGGTTTCTGCCACCCATGTTGGAGATCCAGACTGAGTTCAGGCTCCTGGCTTTGCCTGGTCAGCCTTAGCTGACAGGCAGTCACAGAGTGAACCAGAGGACGAAAGATCTTTATCTGTCTCTATGCCTTACCGAAAAAAAAAAAAAAAAAAAAAAAAAAAAAACACCCAAGAAAAAAAGACTGCAAGAAAAGGGGAAAAGGGGGGGGGGGGGGGTTAAATAGAAAGTAGTTAACACAAAAACATTTTTTATAGTAGGTGAAAACTCAAAATATTGGAAGGTGATGAATGAATGAACAAACAAATGAAAAGCAGATTACAGTAAATTCAACAATGCAAAACTAGCACAATGGGCTAGTGCTGTGGCAAAGCAGTAAAGCCACTGCTGGTTCGAGTCCTGGCTGCTCCACTTCCAATCCAGCTCCCTGCTAATGCACCTGGGAAAGCAGAAGATGGCCCAAACACTTGGGCCCCTGTATCCCTATGGGAGACCCAGAGGAAGCTCCTGGCTCTTGGCTTTGGATAGGCTCAGCTCTGGCCTTTATGGCTATTTAGGGAGTGAACCAGAGGATGAAAGATCTCTCTTTCTGCCTCTGCCTCTCTGTAACTCTGCCTTTCAAAAAAAAAAAAAGGGCAACCACTTTGAACTCTTAAAAACAAAAATAGCATGACTTACTTCCTGGAGGTAGACTAACAGAAATGTTTTTGATAAAACTCAGCTAATTTGTAGACAATCAATCAAATCACAGAAACAGATCCTCACCTCCTCTGACCCATCTCTGGGCTTCATGGGGTTAGCGTTGAGCAGCCCTACGACGGTGCCTTGCTCCGTTTTCCAGAGTTCTCTGTGAACTTCTCCAAATAAGAACAATGACACACAGCGTGTCAGGTCACGAAGATCATTCAGCCGCCAGATGCTAAATGTTTTCCCCTGGAACAAATATTCACTCTTGTTCTTGACAGTGTTTTAACTGTGGTTTATACTGCCTCCATTTATGGTTCAAGGGCTTTATTGTAAAAAACACCTATAGGCAATCCAGCCTAAATATGTCATCCTCACAATGCTAATTATTTATGAATCCTTTCTCTAGGCCTCAGGATTCTATGCCCCTTCCCACTTTGGAGATAAAACAGAAGGCAGGCCTGTAGGCAACCATTAGGAGAGTCAAGTTCTCAGCACATCCTTTACACAAATTCCCCTTGGATACCAACCCCATGACAATGTGGCCATTTTAGAATGTAAGAGAAATACTTGGGGCTGGCACTGTGGCATAGTGGATTAAAAAGCTGCCAGCAATGCCATCATCCCATATGAGCTCCCATGAGTGCTGGTTCCAGTCCCAGCTCTGATCCAGCTCCCTACTGATGTGCCTAGGAAAGTAGTGGAAGAAGGCCACGTCCTAGGACTCCTGCACCCAGGTGAAGACCTAAATGGGATTCCAAGTTCTTGGTCCCAGCCTCGCCCAGGCCCAGCTGTTACAGCCATCTGGGGAGAGAACCAGAAGATAGAAGATCTGTCTCTCTCTCTTAGTGGAACTTTGCCTTTTACATAAATAAATAAATCTTTAAAAAAAAAAAAAAAAAAGAAAGAAAGAAAAAAGAGAATACTGACAGGTCCTGGGTAACAGATTAAAGACAAGGGTCTCAGGGCCAGCACCATGGCTCACTTGGTTCATCCTCCGCCTGCAGCGCCGGCATCCCATATGAGCACCGGGTTCTAGTCCTGGTTGCTCCTCTTCCAGTCCAGCTCTCTGCTGTGGCCTGGGAAGGCAGTGGAGGATGGCCCAAGTGCTTGGGCCCCTGCACCCACATGGGAGACCAGGAGGAAGCACCTGGCTCCTGGCTTTGGATCGTTGCAGCACTGGCCGTAGCGGCCATTTGGGGAGTGAACCAACAGAAGGAAGACCTTTCTCTGTCTCTTTCTCTCACTGTCTATAACACTGTCAAATAAATTAAAAACAAAAAAACAACAAAAAAAAAGACAAGGGTCCCTTCTGTTGGTTTGCCATGAAACAGCTAGGAAATCAACAAAATGCTTACACTGTTAGCACTCTGTGGGGTGACTTTCTTCAATATAACCCCGAATGTCACCCAGTCTATTTCTTCCAGCTTTTCACTTATCATCTTTTCCTTGATCTGAGACAGTCTGATCAGTTTTCGGCCAGTCATTTTCTTGGTCATTTCTGTAGAGGATACACGAGGTTTCCTGGGTTAAGAAACCAGCAGTTAGATGATTATTCTAATAAAGAGATTATATGGCACTTTACCAGGTAGTAAGGAGAAGTGCTATGTGCTCAAATCTCTACAGAACCTTAGAGAACTTAGTTACATAGTACGGGCAGGTACAAATTTTTACAGCAGATAAGTAAAATTTTAAATATATATATATATATTTGAGAAGCAGAGACAGAAAGAGATAGAGCAAGCTCCTATCTGCTAATGCACTCCCCAAATGTCTTCAAGAGCCAGCAGCCAGGAGCTGGAAACCCAAGTCTAGCTCTCCTAGAAGGGTGGCAGGAATCCAGTTACTTGAGCCATCGTCACTGCCTCCCAGGGTCCTCATCAGTAGGAAAATGGAATCAGAAGCAGGAGCCAGAGTCAGTATCAAACTCAGGTACTTCGGGGCCGGTGCGGTGGTGCAGCGGGTGAATCCGCTGCCTGCAGTGCTGGCCTCCCATATGGGTGCCGGTTTGAGTCCTGGCTGCTCCACTTCCAATCCAGCTCTCTGCTGTGGCCAGGGAAGGCAGTGGAGGATGGCCAGGTCCTTGGGCCCCTGCCCCAATGTGAGAGACCCAGAAGCAGCTCCTGGCTCCTGGCTTCGGATTGGCACAGTTCCAGCTGTTGTGACCATCTGGGGAGTGAGCCAGCGGATAGAAGACCTCTCTGTTTCTGCCTGTCTGTAACTCTGCCTTTCAAATAAATAAATCTTTAAAAAAAACAAAAACAAAACTCAAGTACTTCAGTGTGGGGCACGGGCATCCTAACCAGCACCTTAACTGCTGGGTCAAATGCCTGCCCCAACAGGACAATTTTTAAAGCTAGGTTTACTTTCCCTTGGATGTAGATGGGGTTTATACAGATACAAGAGAGATCACAGATTCTTTAAGTTCTCATAAATTATACAGTATGTTATATTTAAAATAATCTCTTGGCTTCATTATAAAACCATGAGTCAATATGTATAAAAAGATACTTAAATTTCATCAGTATTTCAAACATTTCATAGTTCCGACTATTTCTAATTGGATTTTTTTAGCCAACATTTTTGCATAACAAGAAGAGTTTTAGAATCTAGTAATCAATTAATATATTTTTATTCTTAATGACTGGCCAAAAACTGGTGATTTTTCTGTTTTTCTCTGTTTCATCTTTGAAAATATTACACAGAGAAGAGAAAACAGAGTAAACTATGCTTCTTCACTATTTCAAAAGTCTTCTGAATAGGAAGTCCACAGCTCAATCTCAATAACAAAGAAGACTCAGAAGGCAAGCACTGGGGCCAGTGCAGTGGTGTAGCGGGTAAAGCCGCTGCCTACAGTGCCAGTATCCCATATAGGCACTGGTTCGAGACCCGGCTGTTCCAATTCCGATCCAGCTCTCTGCTATGCCCTGGGAAAGTAGAAGACAGCCCAAGCCCTTGGGCCCCTGCACTGGCAGGGCACTGGTGGGGCAGGCAGTTATCAAATCGGGAGGCACATGCTGACTTGACCAGAAACCCCCAGGGACCTCAAGGTGTAATTAAGATACTGAAGACATTTTTCACTTTTGGGAAACACCAAGTCTTTACAATATACTGCTAAAAAGCATTGCCTGCTACTTGTTTCCCCTGCATAATAAAGCATGATTTAAGAGCCCCGGCAGAGTACCAGGCACCAAGCTGCATGAAGACTGCAGGCCCTCGTTTGGGCCATGTCTGGCTGCCACATACCACAGGGAGACTGCTGCTACCAGGAATGTGGCACATGGGACGAGGAACTGACAAGACATGTGATCCCAGAACTCTGCAAACATGTAACAGTTGGGCTGTGTCACTGCGACTGGAAAAGGAATTAGCTGGAAGCGTGGCAAGGGAATCTACTTTGCTCCTTCAGGAAGGCAAAAGCAGTGGATTCAGTCTGGAGACTTGTGTGTGATATAAATGAACAAGACACAAGGAGGCCACACCATCAGAGAAACTTTATAGAAAAGTGGGGCAATGTATGTACTCCTCTCTTCAGGAGAGGGGCAGACATGGTGACTGACATTCACCTCTGAAGCTGCCATCACAACCACACTTCTCTCACTGGGATGGAATTTTCAAGTTTCCAGACCCGGAAATGACAGAATAAGGAAAGGGACCTCCGAAGGGCACTGCAGATAGGAAATGTTAGTGGTATTCAGCATTGGCAATACATCTGATGAGAAAGATCTCACAGAACGAATGGCTCATGTGTGAATGAATACCCGTATGTCACGGAATATATGTAGGAACTTCAAAAAGTACATGGAAAATAAAAATGAAGTTACTGTGCCTTTTCCATGAACTTTATGAAGTACTCTTGCATGTGTGGGGAGAAACATGGGAGAAGGTTAAAAACATTTGTGAATGCTACGTCTATTTGCCCTATTAATGAAGAAAGTTGGATTTGATCCTACAAAGCTCCCAGATGGAGAAAATGAAATTGGATGTTTAATTATATAGAGATAAAATTAAACTTAAGCATTACTTAAAAGAATCTGCAATTTTTCAAAATAAATTGGAAGTTGCCACAGTGTTATTAATGTGTCACTAAATATTCCATGAGTATGGTCACTCTGAATCTCTTCTGACGGTGGATGGTATTCACTTATATTCTTGTACTTTTAAGTGACAGGCAAGTGCAATAAAGACTTTATACCAAACAAATAAAATAAAATTTAAGAACTTAGCAGTTTTAGTTGCTGGCTAATGCTCAGACTGTTTCAGGAGCTCTAGAGGGGTCATACTTGACTTTTGGGACTGCACCCAGTGCGACCCTGTCTCAGGACGGAAGCCCTGAGCTTTAATGAAGTAAGAAAGGATACAATGGAGCAGCAATATAAAGAGCACAGAGGATTTAAAAGTCCAGGACTTGAATATGGCTTTTAATTGAACTGAGCTTGGAATGCATTCTCATTTTAACTGAGTATCTTAAATTCCTCTACATAACAGGCATAAAGAATATAAATTTGCCTTAAAAGATTATTAGAAAGAAAATAGCATATTTTTCTTAGCATTAATTATAAGAAGATAATATTGTACTGGTTAAACTATTATGAATTTAAAAACAGCCTAGGCCGACGCCATGGCTCCCTAAGCTAATCCTCCACCTGTGGCGCCAGCACCCCGGGTTCTAGTGCCGGTCGGGGCACCGAATTCTGTCCTGGTTGCCCCTCTTCCAGGCCAGCTCTCTGCTATGGCCCGGGAGTGCAGTGGAGGATGGCCCAAGTGCTTGAGCCCTGCACCCGCATGGGAGACCAAGAGGAAGCACCTGGCTCCTGGCTTCGGATCCGTGTGGTGTGCCGGCCTCAGCGCGTCGGCTGTGGCAACCATTTGGGGGATGAATCAACAAATCAACTGAAGGAAGACCTTTCTGTCTCTCTCTCTCACTGTCTAACTCTGCTGGTCAAACAAACAAACAAACAAAAAACAACAAAACAAAACAATAAAAAACAAAAAACAGTCTAAAGACTTGGCATCCAGAGAGGAGGAAGGGCCACCTAGCAGTGCACCTGAGTGCAGGGAGAGGCTGTTAAGCTGCTCACCTGAGCCGCAAGCCTGAGAAGGCTTCCGTGGAGACAGGGACCTGTGGAGTCACCTCCTGGGAACTTCCTGGGGTCCTTGTGCTCTGATCTCTCGTCACCCCTCTAGGTTGGTTTCCAGGAATAGTCTGGAGTGGTAGGGAAGGTGCACTTGTCGTCCTCGAAATTGGTGAACTTTTGGGCTCTAGAAAATTAACAAAAGAATTAAGCAAATAGAAAATCATATACAGAAAACAACATTTTTTTAAGAAAAAGATTTTTGTATTTTATTTGAAAGGCAGAGTTACAGAGAGGCAGAGGCAAGGAGAGAAAGAAAGAGAGATCTTCCATCCGTTGGTTCACTCTCCAAATGGCCACAATGGCTAGAGCTGCACCGATCTGAAGCCAAGAGCCAGGTGCTTTTTCCTTGTGGGTTCACGGGCCCGAGGACTTGGGCATCCTCCACTGCTTTCCCAGGCCATAGCAGAGAGCTAAATCGGAAGCAGAGGAGCCAGGACTTGAACTGGAGCCAGGACATGAACCCCACATGGGATGTCTGCACCACAGGCAGTGGCTTTACCAGCTACGCTATAGCACTGGCCCCAATAATCAAATCTTAAAGAAAATAAAGGAAGCCCCTAAGACATTTTTGTTCTATACACAAGACTCTCAGTGCAGTCCATCAGAACTTTCTGTGAGAATGGAAATGTTTTGTATCAGTGCCATCCAATATGGTGGTAGCCACTAGTCACATATGGCCACTGGTTACCTAAAATGTGACTAGTGCTCCTAAGGAAATACATTTCAAATTTAAGTAGTCACATGACGCAAGGCTACTGTATATTAGACAACAAACAGTACAGTTAAAACACTGTCACTCTATGCAACAAATTTATTGAGTGTTCACCATAAACAAACACTTGGGATACAGTCCATAGTGGAGTAAAAGCCCTTCTTTAGGAATGAACAATTAGTGGAGATTTATACACCAAGAAAATTCTCCCTTAAGCAAATTCAAAGATAGCTCCTCTTTCTTCCTTCTTTCTTTCCCTTCTCATTTCACTCTATTACATTTTATTTCTGGGGTGGAGGACCAGTGTATTCTACTTACTAATGCTCACATTAAATATACCTGAGGTAGTTACATTTCGTATTTTAGAAGTGGTTGTGGTGCAGTATGGTAGGCCTCCACCTGCAGTACTGGCATCCCATATGAGCGCTGGTTCATGCGCTGGCTGCTCATCTTCTGATCCAGCTCTCTGTTATGGCCTAGGAAAGCCGTGGAAGATGGCCCAAGTCCTTGGGACCCTGTACCCACATGGGAGACCTGGAGGAAGCTCATGGCTCCTGGCTTCAAATTGGCCCAGTTCCATCTGTTGCAGCCATTTGGGGAGTGAACCAGCAGAAGGAAGACCCTTCTCTCTGTCTGTAGCTCTACCCCTCAAATAAATAAAATCTTTTTTTTTTTTTTTTTTTTTTGAAAAAAAGTATTTTAGGTAGAACCAAAGCAGTGAGAAGCAGTGGGGCTTTGAGATCGTACCTGCAGAAGCCCTTGGTGTCCGAGCCACCCGCTGGGTTCTTGGCAGAACAGGGACATCCAGCTCTGCGGAAAAGCACGTCGATTCCTGAATCCTCTGAACTTTCTTCTCCTTTATAGGGGGATGTGGAGACTTACCTATGGGATTAAACGGGAAAAGAGATCAGTAAAACTATTTGAAGAAGGAACTCAAAGTCTGTTTTGCTCGGAGTTAAATGCAAAGTAATGTTATAATTTCTTAATGACAGGAATGTATACTTTTGCCAGAATTATAGTCTTATTACCAGGGGATTTATGTAGAAGCACTGGACTTGCAGGTTGTTTAATTGTCGCTGCTTTTAGCTGTTCTTGTAAAGACTTCATTTGCTCTTGCAACTTCCTTAGCTCATCTAGGAAAGTAAAATACGTTGATTTAAGAATCAGGACAGGGAAAATGCTACACACGACAAAAATGTTACCAATATTTTTGTTGTCCACCCTCTGTCCTCAAATCCTGCTTTAATATCTAAGCTACTTAAGGATTTTTATGAATGGCAGATATCCCAGAAACATACCCATAGTTAGCACATTAAGAGTCAAGAAGTGATTAGATTTTATTTCATAAATTGAGATCTCATAACTAATAAAAAGGGGTTCCAAAAAATTCATGAAAACATTGTGGTGTCTTTTAATTCCATTGCTCATGAACCTTCTGAATTACTCTCATATAATAAATGATGGCTCTTGAATCAGAAGAAACAGCCAAACACTGCATTTTATAATGACTTAAAAAATATGGGGAGGAGGGAATATGGCCTAGCAATTCGGATGCCACTTGGGATACCCATGTCAGAGTGCCTGGATTTATCCGAGTCCTGCCTCTTCTGATTCCAGCTTCCTGCTAATGTGTGTCCTAGGAGGTAGCAGGTAATGATTCTAATAGGTGGAGCCTTCCTCCTGTGTGCAAGACCCAGATTGAAGTACCAGCTCCTGGCTTTGACCTGGTCCAATGCCAGCTGTTAAGGGCATTTGATGAGTGAAGTAGATGGAATTTTCTCCCTCTATTTGCCTCTTAATAAAACAAAAACCAAAAACCGAGATGGAAAGGACATGCCTCAAAGCTTCTGTTCAAGAATGGTCTCTGTTCCAATAAAAATGTGCAAGGGCTTGTAACCTTGACCTGACTCCATAGGGCAAAGTAGTAGCACTGCATAACAAGGGCCGGGGCCAGCACTGTGGCATAGTAGGCTAAGCATCTGCCTGCAGTGCTGGCATCCCATATGGGCACAGGTCTGAGTCCCGGCTGCTCTTGGCTGATGGTCCAGGAAAGCAGTAGAAGATGGTCCATGGGTCCCTATACTCGTGTGGGAGACTCAGAAGATGCTCCTGGCTCCTGCAGGGCTTTGTATCAGCCAGCTCTGGCTATTTCAGTCATTTGGGGAGCAAACCAGTGGTGGAAAACCTCTCTCTGTAACTCTGCCTCTCAAATAAATAAATAAATCTTATAAAAAAAGTGTTAAGGCCATTCTGTGGAAGATTGATTATAGGTGGTGACAGTGATATGAAGGCACCTGAGGACACTGGAATGCTGGCCTTAATGCTTCAGCAGCAGTTTGATGAAGACTCAGACTGATGGTCTTCATCCAGGTTATCATAAACTAGAAGAAGTAAATAACTTAGGGTACCTTGCAACTCTTGATTAGTCTTCTCTCGACTGGGAGCAGGCACAGGGAGAACCCTATCTTCAGCTGATTGCAGTGTAGGAATCTCTTCTTCATCTGTTAAGTCCCCTACATCTCCAAAGAGCGTGGCCACATTTTCCTTTTGGTCTTCCGTCTTTCCCACTTCTCCATCATCAGCCTCCTCTGTGTAGGATTCCCCATCACCATTAGCATCAAAGAGCTCATCAAACGTGTCAGGTTTGCCCTCTTCCTGGGGCAGGCAGTTTTCTTCTGAATTACAACCCACGGCTGACTCATTCTCCTCAAGCAGTGCAGTCAGCAAAGAAAGATCATCTTCCTCCCCTGGAAACGGGGAGGGGAAGAGAAGGGACAGAAATTAAGCCAGAGTTCTTTGCTTTCAATTCAGAAGAGACAAGTATATGAAACCGTATTTATGGCATTAGCCATCATTAACATTTATCACGCCTACTCCTTGCATTTAACGTTAAGTACCACTTTACTGATAAAGTTATCATGTCAAACCTCAACCCAACTCCTTACTACTGCTTCTGCCCTCCTCTGCAATAACTTCCAAATCTTGGGCTATCCGTCTAGCTCGCTTTCACATACATAGGCAGTCATAATCAGTACATTATAGACTGTTCTAAAAATATTTACATATTTATTCTACTCTATGTATTATCCTGCATCCTGTTTTCATTTAACATTGCTAGTAAGATTAATTCAAACTGAGGGCCTGTATTGTAGCAAAGCACGTTAAGCCGCCACTTAGGACACCAACATCCCACATCAGAGCACTGGTTTGAGCCCTGGCTATTCTGCTTCTGACCCAGTTCCTGTTGGTGTGCCTAGGAAGGCAGCAGAACATGTCTCAACTACTGGGCTCCTGCCACGCATGTGGAGTTCCTGACTCCTGGCTTCAGCCTGACCCAGATCCGGCTGTTGTGGCCATCTAGGGAGTGAACCAATAGATGGAAGATTTCTGTCTCTCCCTGTCACACTGCCTTTTAAATAAACAAAATATTTTTAAAAAGGTTAATCCAAATAAATAATTTTCATATATTTCTTTCCATTGCTATACTGTATCCTATATAGACTGTATCAACAAGCAGGTGTTGAGGCCAGTGGGTTAAGCTGCCAACTGGGATTCTTGCACCCCATACTGTAGTACCTGGTTTTAGTCTCAGGTACTCCATGGTCCTGATCCAGCTTTCTGCTAACATGCCTAGGAAGTGGCACATGATGGCCCAAGTACTTGGGTTTCTGCCATCCATTTGGGAGACCTATATGGAGTTCCTGGATCCTGGCTTTGGCGGGTTCTTGTGACCATTTGGAAAGTGAACCAGAAAATATAAAATCTCTTTTTCTTTCAAATAAATAAATAAATCTTGAAAAGAAAAAAGACGATCACACCTTATTAATCCATTTTCCAATAAAGGACTTATGGATTATTTTCAATTTTTCTACTAAACATGCTTGTGTTATATATACATGCTTATGTACATTTACATCTTGCCCATGTGTGAGTTTCTTGAGAATATACATGAAGTGGAACTGCTGTGTTGTGGGATACACACATTTTTAAACTTTTCCTAGATGCTGTCAAATTGTTCTCAAAGTAGATATACTCAAACCCCCACCTGCCATGTTCATAGGTACTACTTTTCCCCACCATCTCTCCAGTACCCGAAATGTCACTTAGAATTCATTGCCAATCTGATGGGGTGCTTTAGATAGTCATCTCATTATTTGAATCTGTATTTCCTGGACTACTGGTAAGGTTACGAACTGCTTACTGGCTGGGGCCATCGTTCTAGTACTGACTCCAGCATCCCCTATGGGTGTCAGTTCAAGTCCAGGCTGCTCCACTTCCAATTTGGCTCCCTGCTAATTCATCTGGGAAAGCAGCGAAAGACAGCCCAAGTGCTTGGGCCCCTTTCACCTACATGAGAGACCTGGATGGAGTTCTTGGCTCCAGGTTTTGGTCTGCCCCGTTTGCATCCGCTTGTAAAGTAAACCAGTGGAAGTAAGATCTCTAACTCTACTTTTCAAGTGAACAATCTAGAACAAAAACAAAAAAACCCCAACTGTTTATTGGCTAATCTGACTTCTTCCTTGGTTTGTCTATTTGTACTCTTTGCTCTCTCTCTCCCTTCTATTACTTTTTATAATCAGAGGAATTTAAAGCAACAATGCTAAGATTATCTGACTCACTCCTCTCATCTAAAAGACAGAAGTTGGAATTCAGAGGGTAAGGCCTAGCTCCGGACCACATGGTGATAGAGATCAGTGCTGCAGAATGGGGTGGTAAGACTTGTTTTCTAGATCAGCAAACCCACATCCTTTCCATACTCCATATTCCCTTGCTAAAGGGAAAAGAGCCAACAGCCAAATTTAAGGCCTTGGATCTGAAGACAGGGCCATCAGCGTTCTCTAACACTTAAGAGTCAGATGTATAAGGACTGGCTTGAAGTGCTTAACCAACAAAGACTCCATGAGTGCAGTGAGATAAGCGCAATGCTGGCTCACTAGGTCCAAAACGAAACCGGCAGGCTTTCATGGCCCCAAACGCTTCATCCTGAACCCACCTTCTTTCACAAGAGTACCAGGGCTAACCCCACGATGTCTCAAATCCTTTTTACCTTGGTCACCACCCACAATCATTTCACTTCTCCATGTTATGCTGACCCCCATCTTCCTGCCTTCTTGCTGCCAAGCTTCTGGGGTCTGCTCTTTGGAATCCAGAGTCTACGACCAGCAAATTTTCCTCCATCTTCTGTGGTTCTCAAATCAGCAACCTGGCTTTCCTTGGAACTCTCTTGAGTGGAAGATGTTTAATTGGTCATAACCTCCCTCAACAATTTCTGGTTCCATTCAGACTAGGCGTGCACTAAATATTTGTTGAGCAGTGTTTTGATGTTTTCTTTGCTTGTCTTGGAACCATGCACCCTTCTTCAAGGCTGCATCTTCTCTGAAGCTTACCACACAGGTTTTGTCATCAAGAACCACCCGCCCCGCAACGGTTGCTTCATCTACTGAAATCCATGCCTTCCAGTCCTCCCTTCCATCACTGCTGCAGCCCCCACTGTCAGGGACCTCAACACCTGCACGGAGGACCCAGGTTCTTGACCTCTTTACCTTCAGAGATCTTATTCTCCACATCATCTTGGCTACCCACTCCCAAAATCAGTCCTGGACGTCACAACAAAGACACACTGTATCTCAGGACCCTGATTTAAAGCATCTCACTGGGACCTCTACCTCCTATTCTTCTAGCCCACTCTCTCTAGTTTTCCCACTCAGCACTTTGTTTTTGTGTGTGTGTGTGTGTGTGTGTGTGGTTTTTTTTTTTTTTTTAAGATGTGCAACCTTTTGAGCTTCCTACAATTGTCTTACTATCCATCACTTCCCACCCCCATGACCTCACTTTAGATCCAGGTCCAGCATCACAATCACTGCCTTCCAAAGTCTCATTAATCCCCTGCTTCTCTCCCACGCTCTCATTTTCCTTGACAGAAGTTTTAGCCTCAATTGAATATAATAAACATCCAACTGCATGCCTGCACCCAGCCAGCAAACACTGCCGAAGACACGCTGCCATGCTGACTGGCTGAACTTTATATTTGTGCAAGACAATAACAAGTAGCCATTCAGCACTGCTTAAAAATTCCCATACCTTCCCAATACATTGGTTTTCCCATTCCGTATCTCCTCACACCTCCTCAACTCTCCTCCCTCTTTATTTTTAGCTGATGATCTCATCCTACATTAGCAAAAAACAGAAGCAATCAGACTTCCTCCTCTTTCACTACTGAACCTGAACACAGGTTGTCTGCTTTCCCACATGACAATGCACATGGCGTCTCCTCCCATTTATGGCCAATTCCTTCATTTTTGCCTGGGATCCCATTCTTCTCTGCTTCTCCAGGATCTCATTCTACAGTTACCTCCTCTCTGGCTCCCACCTTGCCCATTTCCCCCCTTTCCTGCAGCATTTCTGGTCAATATACCATGTGTCTCCCACCTTCCCAACTACCTGAAGTCTTCTTGCTTTTTGTTATCTTGCTCCCCCAAATATGTAAGCAGGAACATTGGTCAGTATTAATGGACTTTTTGAGTTCCTTTGTACTGGCCAAACTGAAGCCAGGCCAACTAAAGATTTTTTTTTTACTAGACACTATGATTTCTTAGAGAACATACATCCATTCATCTCTTATTTTCATGTCCAATTAGTAACAAAAGTTATACTTTGTATCACATTGACTTTGCTATAGGTAATGTGATTTTAAGAAGAAACTAGTGTCACATCTCTGGGCAGTAATTTTCATGTGTATCACAAGCTAAGGAATTTCAACATTAGGTTTTACCTTTTTTTAAAAAAGGGCAAAGCATAATGAATTTGAATTTTGAATAAAATTTGTAACAAAAATTAATCTAAAAAAATCTAATTTCAGACAATGAACTCAATCAAGCAGCCAGAAAAACAATGCTTTTGATTTGTCAGGGTCTCTTTACTGCCAGTGTAGTCACTCTTGTGCTGTTTCTGGCTAAGCTTTGGTAATTAGAGCAACATCTAACGTTTTGCACACACCTCTGCAAAATGAAAAAAAAAATGAGATAGGACTATAAAATTTAAGTCTGAGCTATGCTATAGCCACTTCAAAAGACCACAATATTAAATATGAATTATGAAGTTAGGTAATCTCGTTCAAACACCTGTTCTGACAGTTGGACCTCTGATGAGTCACTACACATCACTGTTTTCCTGTCTAACATACATTTGTTGTGAGGGTTAAATCCACTAACATATGTAAGGATGAGAGCAGTAATTGGCACATTGTAAGAACATGTCAGTGAGAACTATTATCAGAGAGAAGTCTAATTAAGAGAAGTCTAATTAAATAACATTCAGTGACTGGGTGAAACCGCTTTTGAATCACTCAGACACACCTGAGGGTGAGGGAACATCTTGCCAGCAGAATAAATAAGTCCATGGACAAAAGGTTGGTTTCCCACAAAACAAAGAGCACTTGAGAAAAGAGCCAGGCCTTACCATCCATGCTGTCAAGAGCAGGGTCAACAGGGAACATCGAAAGGGGATGAGCTGCCCAGAGGATGAGTGACGTAGGATCCTGGCTGTGGGGAAATCAACATTGGAGAAGTTAACTCATGTCTTTCACAGTACATATCCAGAATCCCGCAAATTCTACGGGCTCCAACCGCAGAATTCACCAGAATCTGACCATTCCTCGTCTCCTCCTAGTACAGAAGCAGTCTTCTTTGACCTGCTTTCAATCTACGGTTACAGAAACTCAGCTGAGGTGCGGAGCAGTTTGTACAATACTAGATTACCCTGCAGAGATGGAATTGTGAACAATAATTACTGGGGTTAGGCTATTACCATCTTTACTGCCTGTAATATACACTTAATGTCCACTTTATCCTCAGCAGCTTAGCATGTGATTTCACTTAGTTCTTGCCTTTGTTACAATTTAATTCAATACTAGCCAGCAAAGCACGGAGTAGTAGTTAGCATAGCTAACTTGTATGATTCAGGGCACTGTCCTTTTTGACTTAAAAAGATTTTTTTTTTAAAGATTGATTTATTTATTTGAAAGGCAGTTACAGAGAGGCAGAGGCAGAGAAAGAGGTCTTTCATCCACTGGTTCACTCCCCAGATAGTCTCAATGGCCAGAGTGGTGCTGATCTATAGTCAGGACCAGGAGCTTCTTCTGGGTCTCCCACGCAGGTGCAGGGGCCCAGGGACTTGGGCCATTTTCTACTGCTTTTCCAGGCCATAGCAAAGGGCCAGATCAGAAGTGGAGCAGCTGGGACTCGAACCAGCACCCATATGGGCTGCTGGCACTGTAAGCGGCGGCTCTACCTGCTACACCACAGTGCCAACCCCTTAAAATGATTTTAAAACTGCAAACAGGAGCAGGCATTTAGCCTAGTGGTCAACAGCCCTTACCCACACCAGAGTGCCTGGGTTCAAATCCTAACTCTGGCTCCTAATTCCACTTCCTGCTAATATACACTCTGGGAGGCAGCAGGTGATACACCAAGTAGTTAGGTCCCTGTCTCCTACAGGGGAGATCAGGACTGTGTTCTTGGCTCCTGGCTACAATCTTGGCCCAATCCCAACTGTTGTAGGAATCCAGGGAGTGAACCAGCAGATAGGAGCCATTTGTTAGCCTCTACAAAAATAAAATAAAATAAAGCAAGTCAACAAGAGTACATTCCTAGGTTACAAGTGCTCTGTGATATGTGCGACTTAGGAAAGTCTGAGGCTTTTTTATTTGATTTAATAAATATTTCCACGGATCCCATCAAGCACTGCACGAGGCATCATCTATTACCGAATCTGCTGGATTGGAAGCTTCCTGAGGGTTAACAGCAACTGTCTTGCTCATATCTATAACCAGCACCCACCAGTCCCCCCAAACAAACCTGCACTCTTCTTCCCCTCCTACCCAGGGCCATCCAACCAAGACTATACGTCTCTAAGACGTACTCAAAAATCTTCCACTTCTGTCCGGCTTCACCGCCAAATGCCCAGTGTAAGTCACCACTAATCTCATGCCTGAATTTCTTTAATGATGTCCCACTGCCCTCAGAACAAAATCCCCCAAGCCTTTGGAGCAGGGGATGCCCTCTCTCGCGTATCTCTACTTCCACCTTTTCCATGCGTTCACCCACCTCCCAAATCATTCTCCAGCCAGGCTGGTCTGCTTTCCACCGCTGGAACACACAACGAGCGGCTCTCAGGCCTCGGGCTTTCTACTGGAAAGCTCTGCCCTAGCTCTCTCTTCTCATTTCCCTGAACCCTTCCGGGCCACCCGACCCGCGGGGGCTCCTGCCGACCCTCTCCTTGAGCCTCTCTGTTGTCACGTCGTCCGCCATCGGGCTCTAGCCTGCTGTCTGCTCCCCCCTTTAGATCCAAAGTCTCAAGAGGGCAGAGGTAATGCACTGTGGCCCCAGCGCTCTCAACAGCGATTAGCGTCTCAGAATCAAAGCAATGGGCCGCCTAGAGACAGCCTAGACTGCATGCATTTTCAAAGGTTATTTTTACAAAGGAAAACACTGGTCCCTTAAGTGGATGCTTCCGCCATTCCTCAGCCCCCGCGCTTTTCCCATCGCTCCACCTGGGCGTTCAGATACCCGCCGCCGCCCGGTTTCAGATCTCGCCCGTCCGGGCCCTGCTGGGCTCGGCGCCTCTCGCGCGCAGAATTCTCCGAGCCCCGCTCACGGACACGCGAGGGCGGCCCGTGGCCCCCGGCACCGCCAGAGTCCCCGCGCGCCCCGAACTCGCACCTCTTACCCAGAGCCGGCGCCGGCGCCTCTTCCCGGTCTACAGGCGAACCCGCCAAAATTCCAACTTGACTCCGCCCCTGCCTCTGTCGTCAGCCGCACACGGCGGTCGTGCCGCACTGATTGGCTACGTCAGAGCTCCCGGAGGCCTCCTCCTTGGGTTGAAATTGAAACAAGGCCCGGGCATAGAGCAATCTGATTGGCTCACGTCACGGTCGCCCTCTTTGTTAAGGGCAAGGGAAGTTCCGGTCGGTCAGGCCGTAGCTTCTTTTAGGCAAAAGAAAAAAAAAAAAAAAAAAAGAAAAGAAAAAAGAGACGTCTTGCACCCCCCAGCGTCGGGATGTCAAATCTTCTCTCATGGTAGTATTTTCTCCGCGGTCCTCAACTTTTTGTGAGGTGAAGGGTGACGACGGAGGCGGAGAAGCCGAGACATGTTCACTTAACCCCGGAGCCACAGTCCACCCGGTACCGCCGTCCCCACGGATCTGCTGAGGCGGGAGTGATGGTGCGGACGTTCCCACGAGCTACTGCTCATCACCCCGCTGCGCTTTGCCGGGCCTGTGTGCCGTGGAGGTGTTTCCGCTCAAGAACAGACAACACAATGATGTTTGCTTTTTGTTTTTATTTTTTAAATATTTATTTATTATTTAAAAGGAAGAGTTACAGAGAGGGGGGGGGGGGGGGGGTGTCTTCCATCCGCTGGTTCATTCTCGCTGGAGCCAGGAGCCAGGAGCTTCTGCTGGGTCTCCCACGCGGATTCAGGGCCCCAAGGAGCTGGGCCATCCTCTACTGCTATCCCAGGCCATAGCAGAGAGCTGGATCGGAAGTGGAGCAGCCGGGGCTCGAACCAGCACCCATATGGGATGCGGGCACTGCAGGCAGAGGCCTTTTTGAGGCCTTACTGGCTATGCCACAGCGCTGCTCCATGCTATCTACTTTTAACTCTGACCTTGAGAAAGTAACACGTGTGGGTGTCCACTTCACCTCTGTACAGAGAGGTGAAGGGACAGAGAGGAAAAGGGGAGAGGGGAGAGGCCAGATGGCTTTTTTTTTTTTTTTTTTTTTTGACGCAGAAACTACTATTCGAGGGTAATTCGTGATCCATAGATTTTGGAAAATTATAACTGGCATCAGAGCTGGGAACAACTTATCAGGAGACTTATTTTTCACAGGATTTTTTTTGTAAAAATATTTTTCCTAAAGACATCTTTACATGCTAGAAATAGTTTGCCCATAGTACTAAGAACATGGTTTCTAAATTTAGAATTATATTTAGCTTCTACATGATTTCAAATGACCACTTAAAGGTTTCTTTTCCTCAAGACATTATTGAGGCACCACATTCCCTCACTATTAACAGCATTTTATTGAAGATGGTATGGCTAGCCACTGTGTGTATCTTCAAAATTAAAACCAGCTTTAGAATGACCGGAAAATACACGCTCCTGGTGACATCTACATTGACTTTTTTTTCCCCCTAATAGAACATTAATGCTCTATTTATGAGTATAATCCTATTATTTGACCTGTTATACTGACCCAGGAAAAGAAAGAGAATCACTTTTTTTAAAAAAAGATTTTTTATTTATTTATTTGACAGGTAGAGTTACAGACAGTGAGAGAGAGAGACAGAGAGAAAGGTCTTCCTTCTGTTGGTTCACTCCCCAAATGGCTGCTACGGCCAGAGCTTTGCTGATCCGAAGCCAGGAGCCAGGTGCCTCCCCCTGGTCTCCCATGTGGGTGCAGGGGCCCAAGCACTTTTAAGAACTGCTGATGTTGAGAGATTCACAGCAAGGAAGGAAAGACAGTATGACATTGAGGAAGGGAGTTTAAACATATCACGGTATTTGTTTATAAAGTTTCATAATAGGAGGCAGAAATACCAGATCAATTCTGACGGACATTCTGAAGTTTGTTTTCTCTCAGTTGACTTTCTAGGTCCTCTTTGCAGACAATTCAATGCAAAGAGTAAGAAGCAATACTAATCTAAGCCTCACACTTTTCCCAGAGTGAGAGATCAAGCAATTGTACTAGAATGTGTATAGTGGAGGGAGGGCACCCCAGCTCACTTGGCTAAGCCTTTGCCTGCGGCGCCGGCACACCGGGTTCTAGTCTTGGTCAGGGCGCCAGATTCTGTCCCAGTTGCTCCTCTTCCAGTCCAGCTCTCTGCTGTGGGCCAGGAAGGCAGTGGAGGATGGCCCAAGTGCTTGGGCCCTGCACCTGCATGGGAGACCAGGAGAAGCACCTGGCTCCTGGCTTTGGATCGGCTGTGCCAGCTGTATCAACCATTTGAGGGGTGAACCAACGGAAGGAAGACCTTTCTCTCTGTCTCTCTCTCTCATTGTCTAACTCTGCCTGTCAAAAAAAAAATTTGTATAGTGGCAATTTTAACAAAAAGAGCGGTTTTGAGAACAAATGTAGAGAGTAGAATCAGGAACTATTGAATGGGGAGGTGGATATTAGAGAGCGATAAGGCGGGGATGGGAGAGACAGAGTGGTTTAATATAGATTTCTGATTTTTGCAACTGGTTGTTTCTTGTGGCAGAGCACTGAAGCAGGGAACACAGAACAGAATGGGACTAGGGGAGAAGAGAGACTTAGCTGTCAATTTCAGAATAAGTATGGAGGATACTAATTAAGAAAAGCCCGGCGGCCAGCTGGATCTCCAGCTTGGGGTTCTAAGATGTTTGCACTGCACTCTCCTTAAAATACAAATAGAGGGGCTGGCATTGTGGCCTAGCAGGTAAAACTGCCGCCTGCAGTGCCGGCATCCTTTATATGCGCTGGTTTGAGTCCCGGGTGCTCCACTTCTGATCCAGCTCTCTGCTATGGCCTGGGAAAGTAGCAGAAGATGGCCCAACTCCTTGGGCTCCTGCACCTGTATGGGAGACCTGGAATAAGCTCCTGGCTTCTGGCTTCAGATCAGCCCAGCTCTGGCCATTGCGGCCATTTGAGGAGTGAACCAGTGGATGGAAGACTTCTTTCTCTCTCTGCCTTTCTGTAACTCTGTCTTTCAAATAAATAAATAAATCCTTACAAAAATATAGAGGCTCACAAAAAACAGCTATGAGAGTTCATCAGCATGTATCTATAATGAAATCTAAACCAGTGGTTCTTACCATTTGGGGGAGGGGAGTTATGATCGAAGACTCTTCAGACTATATTGAAATTGATGTCTTTTTTTTTTCCTCACAGAAAAATACACACACTCTCAAGATTTAGTATGCCTCTCAGCAGCTCACAGGTATTCCTGAAGCCCATCCACAGACACCCCTCTTATCTTGAACCTCTGGTGCAGAAGGCCAAAATCCTGGGAACATAGATATGTGAGAGGAAAGCAGCTGGTGCCAAGAGGAGGAGCCAGAGACAAGAGTGAGAAGGAAGAGCCAAGAGAGGTAAGGGAAGCAGAACTGCCCTTCAGCTGAGGCAAAAGACCCCCTGGTCTGGGTTTGCCATTTACATGGCCCTGTTCTCTTACCTTCTTCCACAGCCCATAGGGTGAGGAGTCCCAAGGCCAAAGGGATGGCCCCATCAGATCTCATACCAGCCCTTGTAGCTAACATCCTAGGTCCTGGGACCCTAGGATTTTTTTTTACCCAAATGATCCCGAGCTTGCTTCAGGAGCCTGTGATGTCCTTTTAAGGACAGATCCCTCGGTGGCCAAGGGGCAGCTGTTTTGGGCTTGGGAGTGAAGGGAGCTTGGGTAGTGGACTTGGGAGAGAGGCCACCAAATACAGCCCAGAACTGTACTCTCGTAGGAAGAACAGCAATGCTAGCAGGGCTGGGACCCATTTCTCATGCTGTCATGTTCTAATGTGAAACTCCAAGGAGATGGTTTGTCTTACCTGTAAACTTTAAATTGTGCACATAGGATATGTGGTTATCCATGTGTGTTGTTGTCCCAGGTTTTTCCACTGTAAGGGATGGGCCTTGCAGGAAAATGATAGCACAGGAAGCCAAAGAAGCAGTTTTAGGAAGTGGCAAATGTCAGCGTTATAGTGCTGTGCTTCTCCTGGACCAGGCAGCATCAGCATCACCTGCGTACTTGTTAGAAAACACAGGCCTGAGCCTCAAGCCAGGCCTACTGAATCAGAAACACAGGAGGGACTCAGCCTTCTCACTGGGCCTTGATAATTACTGCATTTCAATGACAGTGGTTTCAGAACAGTACAATGCATCAGAATCACTGGAAGGCCCTCTTGACTTGTGATTTCTTCTTAGTGTCTAGCTTTGGAGCTCTTTTACCCACCATCTTGCAAGTTGGGAAACTGAACGAAGTAATCTGGTTTATAAGCAATCACAGGAAATGTCCAGGAGGGCCTTTTAAATCATATCATACACAAGAAAGGGAAAAAGGCAGGCGAGAAAGGTTAGTTGTCTTCGAGCCTCCGACACTAAATGCCACTGGCCCACATGGCTAAGCACCTCTCCTCATCGCTCTCACTGACATCCCTCAGTCCTCATATCCAGTTACCAGTCTTTACCTTCCTTATCGCCTGTCTCTTGATCCATCCTCTCCTTGGCACCCTTCTTGTTGGGACTCTTGGGGCTCTCATCATCTGACTTCTTCCTACCTCTAACTGTTCTATTTCCCATCTCACCCAACTCCAAATCATTTCTCTTTTTGCCTCCACTGACCATAAAATTTTTTTTTTTTTTGACAGGCAGAGTGGACAGTGAGAGAGAGAGACAGAGAGAGAAAGGTCTTCCTTTGCCGTTGGTTCACCCTCCAATGGCCGCCGCTGCAGCCGGCGCACCGCGCTGATCCTGGCAGGAGCCAGGAGCCAGGTGCTTTTCCTGGTCTCCCATGGGGTGCAGGGCCCAAGCACCTGGGCCATCCTCCACTGCACTCCCTGGCCATAGCAGAGAGCTGGCCTGGAAGAGGGGCAACCGGGACAGAATCCGGCGCCCCAACCGGGACTAGAACCCGGTGTGCCGGCGCCGCAAGGTGGAGGATTAGCCTATTGAGCCACGGCGCCGGCTCTGACCATAAAATTTTGATATGGCTTTTCCCTGATTGAAATCAGCCTCAGTTCCTATAAATTCAAAACTTCTTACCATTCAAGATCTTTATTTACAAACCTGTCTCCTGCCTACTTTC